TGGTCCACAAGAGTAAACAAACATAGTAGATTTGAACAGTTGTTGGATGTTATTGGGTGTGACACTGGTGTTACATGGTGTTACTAGTTTCCTGTAAGGTTTAGTGGTTATTGTGTTTTGCAATGTCAGGCATCATTGGGCAACCAGGTCACGGTTTGGTCATGAGTTGCAATGATCATGATCATAGTGTTGCCATGTTTTGCCAATGCTTCACATTCGTTGGGAGGACCCTGGGACGGCCAGGTGTCACAGGTGTCACAGGTGTCGGGACAGAAATTCACAGATTCTGAATTCTGAATGATTTTGATCGAATTCTTCTGATTTCTTGTTGAAGTGCGAAGAATACTGCACACCTGCACAGGCCAAGGCCGTGGTTCCGGCGCTGCTTGGCTGCACCGCTGGAAATCACTGGACTTCTCAGGTTGAACAATTTCTAAACATAACACGATAAAACACGATAACACAGGATAACACAGATACAAAACGATCACATGGTGCCAGTGACGTCAGATTGTCAGATTATAGGCATTTAACATCATTTAACTCATTTAATGTAAATTTATGGGCAAAAAGATCAAACAGATCAAAGAGTCGGTATGTTCAGCTGCGTTTCGGGATGGCCGAGGATGCCTGACAACACTGACAACCCGCCAGCTTCTCCCGTGGCTTTGAGAAGGTGCCTCGGACACAGTGAGATCATGTGAGATCAATAGCGTTCAATAACTAACGTTACCATACGTTGCCAAAAAGTTACCAAAATTTGGAGTAAAACTATGTAAAACTATATAATGAGTCAATGAGCACCGGTTTCTGCATGTTCACACTTAAATTGGACCCTTCCGACCCTTCCCAACATTTCTTTTGACATGTCTTCTAATTAAGCAAGATGGGGACTTTCATCATCACAACTCCTTTGTCCCCGATGAACTAACATGCCCACATCACCCATCATCCCACATCCACATACATCCATGCTGACAATGCATTGTGGTGCAGGTCCTGCGAGCTCCGCCGAATACCTAGAATACAATTCTCCACCTTTTGGCTCGAACACCGAGAAATGAAAGCGAGATGGTTCATGTAGCAATGCATCGTGAATTCTAGAGAGACAGAATAAATCACAGGGATAGACGATAGACAACGTGTGCCATGACTCCATAATTTCATTATAATTTCATGATATGCTCACACACATAATAAACAACAATAAACAACACAATAAAAGAAACAACAATTTGTATAATTTGTCGAAACCTAGGACCTCTGTGGTTTACTCAGTTTTTCATTGGTGAGTTTTGGTGCTTTGAGCTTGGCAGCGAAGCAGCACTTCCGGCCAGAGTTCCGACTTTTTGAAGCGACCCACAGGGACACACCGGGACACTGACCTTTGTGCTTGTAAGATGCAAGCTGCCACGACAGCAGAAGGAAATCCCGCAGGCATTGCTGAAATGCAGAGATTTTGCAAATGCGTGCAAATGTTGCAAATGTATGCAAGTGTTCTATAATGCCATAGTGCTGCCATATGTCGGCATGAAGTCAAAGACATCCTCTAGGCACCAATTCTGCAAAGTGTAGATCACAGAGGAGTTGAAAAGATGATAAACATTGATAAACGCTGATGCAGGAGTTTGCTTGTCATGATGGGAAACGCATGGAAACGCTCCCTTTCAGATACACACTTGTTGATCCTTCGTGTCTTTGGCTTGGCTTCACACGCTCTGCTTCTTTCACTTGCCAGTGCCATTGTGTTGCGAAAAAACGCTCGCTACCATTGGCCGATTTAAGCCCATTGTTCCGATGGTGAGTCTTCCGCATAGCCTCCGCGTTTGAGGAAAGGCTGCGGGGCTGAACAGCTGAGCTGAGCTCGAATGGGTCAGCTGATGTCGGCTGGGTGCCTTGCATCCCACTGACTCGAAGAGCCAAAAATCTGAGAGCGGCATGGTGTAGGTGTGCATAATGTGTGCTGCATAAGCTTCCCAAACCCCTGCCGGACTGCATGCATTTTATTCGATCATGTTTGTGCACTGTGGTAGCATGTCGAAACATTCAGATACGGAGCCCAAAGGGATATGTAAGACAATTCGAGAAAAAGAAAACATGTTTGATGTAGCATAGTGTCATCTTTGAATGTGCAGTATGTAATCTCATGATTGAAACTGGAGTAAACTTTTGGGATTTGTTGGGCTTGTTCAATTGAAATGGCTATGACTCTGACGATCTAATGACGATCTAATGACGATCTATTAAGGCTATGTTTTGCCATGTTTTGCCATTTGCCGTGGTCCTGACAGGTCAGGGCTGACAGCAGCGGCTCCTCCTCACCAACATTCAGCGGTTGGGAGTCCAAGACAGTGGCACAGGAGCACCGCAGTAAAACTCTAGGATTTGAGAAGATAATAGAAGATACAATAGAAGATACAATAGATACATGAAGATACCAAAATCATTCAAAATCAGAAACTGGCAGAAACTTGCAACAATTGCACCTCTCTGTGATTTCACCCCTCGTTGGGATTGGGCAGCAGGAAGTGTTGGAAAGTCAAAGATGTCAAAGGGCATTGAGTTCATTAATTGTAGTTTCGACAGGATGACAGGTCTCTAATGTTTGAGTCCAAAATCCCTGCTCAGATTCAGCAAATCTCTCTGAACTGCTTCGTTCAACTTCGGTGGGGAGCCCCGTTATGCCAAGGTGACCAGTGCCAAGAACCTATGCTTTTAACGTTGTATATATATATAATTATATACACAATTATACAAATTATACACATACATACATACATAACATAACGTTACATTACATTATATTACATAACATAACATTACATTACATTACATTACGTTATATTACATTGCATGACATGACATGACATGACATGACATTACATTACATTAATACATTAACACATTAACACATTAATACATACATACATACATACATACATACATACATACATACATACATACATACATACATACATACATACATACATACATACATACATACATACATACATACATACATTGACATACATTGACATACATTGACATACATGCATACATACATACATACACACATATATATATATATAACATATAATATAATATAATATAATATAATGTGATATGATATGATATGATATGATACGCTATGATATAATAATATAATTTGATATTGTATAGTAATATATATATATATATTTGTCTAAAATTTGTATATAACTACATATATATACATATGTGTGTGTGTGTGCGTGTATGATATGGTTTTCTTATATCATAAATTTTGTTCTTTTTTCAACCTGTGGAAACTTTCTGGTCAACACAGCTGGTGCATGTTGCAGCAAATAGAGCAGACGCGAGTTGGAATCATCATTCCTTTTTAGATTGTAAGTCAGCATTTCTTGACATAACAACCCATTCTATTGGAATTTATACTACAATTTTATACACTTTTAGCATCATTAAAACTCAGTTTCCTTTTCATGGGAATGGGGCCATGCAGTCACTTTGCTGGGCTCAGGGCCAGTATTTAGAAATGGTGCGGCCCAAGACGACATTTGAGGCCATGGCGAGGAGTGAAGGGATGTCGTCTGGCAGCATCGCACTCAGACATACTCAGACTCCTTGGTTGATTTGGTTGGGAGATTTTGAGAGCACTGTGTCTGAACAGCCTGGCGAAGCCTTCGGGGTGGAAAGGCAATCTTGAAAATGCAATCATCAGGCCGCTCGCCGATGGTCGTGGTGACACAACCACTTCCGGCACAGGCAGAAATATCAGAAATTTGTCATTAGTTTTATTGGATTTGGTTTGGTCAAGATAACAGACGTATCGAATAACAGACGTTTGAGTCCGTTTGAGATCGTTTGCGCACTATCGGATTCGACGGATGTGATCAACATGTCATGCATGCCCCAGCGTGGATCACACAAAGAGTCCGACAGGCAGCACAAGGTGTGCGCACTCAAGGCTGGTTTTGCTGGGTTTTGCGCTCGGTTTTGCTTAGTCAAACGCAGGTAAAGAGGTAAAGCATGCTCGTCTTTTAATCTCTCCGAATCTTGTGTACAGATTCACATTCCTCTTTGTTTCTTTGTTGAAACTTTGTTGATCTTTTTTATGTTTTCTGTATGTCTTTGAGTCTTTGAATGGATATATTTTTGTGAATTTTGTGCCTGTTGTGTTCACTGCAGCGCCAGGTGCCCAGGCTGGGGTGCCTAGAGGGTGGCACACTCTGGCACAGGGACACAGGGACACGGGAAAATCCGGGAAAACATGTCAATGTGCCCATCAACGAAAGACTTGGATGGTACTGTACCTGGTAATCCATGTAATCCGAAAGATTCCGAAAGTTGTCAGGAAACCGTTGAAACCGTTGACGATGAGCCGATTTGTGTTGGAGTCTCAGCGCCTCGACGTTGGCGCAACAGTTCGCCATGCTCAAACTTCAACAGATACGGATCATACGGGTACTCTACGCATCTCCACGCAGCTGTATTTTGGCCAGCAGAATAAGACGGAAATGAAAACCGCATAAAACTGCTGCCAAATCCAAGCGTGTTGCTACAGATCCCAGGGCATTGATTGGAACCAAATTAATGCTGCTATGTGCTGCTATAATATGCATTTAATATGCTATACTATGTTGAATATGGATGAGTATGGTTGACCCCTGACCCCTACGCTGTAGCCACTTTTTCGTTCAAAAGGGGCCGTCACAGTTTCAAGCCTTCACGAGGTCATAAGTCATTTCTGGCGCCTTTTTTAATCTTGGAAAATCTTAATATGAAGCGGCCCAGCAACTAAATCAAGCAAATCCCCACCTGGCGCAGTTTTTTCGCGCCAGCTCAGCGCTAGTTTGGCTCGATTTTGGACAATTCGAAGTGTTTTCTTGCAGCACGGCGTGTTTTTTTTTCACTAGCACGGCACTAGTAACGCGCCAGCAAAATTTCCTGCCACCGGGAGCCCATGCCATATCAAGTTGAAACATATGAAATTCCACGATCTCTGAAGTTGATGCCAAACATGCGCCAAGAAGCCAACCCCAGACGAATTACGACGGGGAAGCAACATTTTGACATATTTTGACCATAAGTAGCCAGCTGTGAAGGGACGGACTAGCAACCATCCAATGGCGACGAATGCCACAACCAATCACAAGGGCAAACTGACTCACTGGGGTAGTGGGAACACCAAAAACCAGTAAAAGATGCAAATAGAATATAATAGAATCAAATAGACATGTGCAGACTGTGTGCAGAATGTACCGAGTTTATTTACGGGACAGGACGAAAGAGTCATCCCTTGTTGCCCGGCCACAATTTTGAGATCCTTAGAGCTTGAGTTTCTCAAGATGCCGAAATCATTCTGATAGGGTGTAACATGGTGTAACCACGCGTAACCCAGGTGAAAATGATTAAAAATGAACCAAGCAAAGCACAGAATGCGTGGTGTCCCAAGGTCCCAAGGATCGGTTTTTGGATATATTGTTACTGGAGGTGTTTCTGGAGTCCAGCTGTGTTGCGTCTGCAGACTTGTGGCAATCTCACCAACAAAACTGAGAGGCATTTTCCAGCAACGCGCGGCACCCCAAACTGACAGTCACCAGGATGTTTCCTGCAGTGTGTTGAGCACATGCCCAGCAGTTTGTGCGCGATCCCTTCTTGTGCACCATTTGCACCCTTGTTGATTCCCAATTTCTGTATGGTATCCTGTGGTATCCGGTTTTATGCCAAGAACGCTGCTGTTTGAGATTCAGTCACATGACAGAATACTTCGGCCATGCCAAGAATTTACCTACCCCTTTTTTGGAACCCTTTGCTTCTGCAAGAAACTCTTAGTTTATTTCATTGACTTCTTTACCAACTGCTTCAGCGCTTTTAGGCCGCGTCCACTTGGCAAACACTGACGGTCAATCATTGACTGACATAAGCTCTGCAGCCTTCGATGTGTATTCGATTTGTATCAACATTTGGAGCCTGCGATGATACTGACGATACTGCTGTTGTTTTACCTGAGCGCTCCAGGCGGAGATGATTTCCAGTGATTCCAGTGTCGAACAGTTTCACATGTCGGATGTGCTGCAATCTTTGGTAGATGTGCGATTTCTGATGCAACAAAATAAGAAAATAAATGAAAATGATATAAAATAATAGAACATGCTTGTAATGATTGACAAAATGGATTTCACACCGAATCTGCTGATTTGGCAGGCCTTACTGAGCGGGACTGGCGCCTTGGGAGGCATGCCTTCAAGGGATACTGTGGAGGAGAGCAATGGGCCCCGAACCCAATGACGGAACCGACAGAAACCAAAATGGAACCGACCAAAACATCTAAAACATACAAAAAAAAATACCAAAATATCCAGAACGACAATATCCAAGATAGTGTCATGACAACGTCTGACAATCGAGACAATGTCATGACAATGTCCTACGATGACCATATGACATGATGATCATGTGACAATGTCAAGGTCATGACAGGATGCTCGAAGTGTGCGCGAGCGGTGGATTTTCATTGCGTGATATTGCGTGTTTATGCATTTGTGTTATAGACGAGAGTTTGGCCGTTTTGAATTGTCTTGAATCAGTTTGAATTTGTTGAAACCGATTCAATTATCTTGATTCGTATTTGAATCCGTTTGATTCATTTTGACATGATGCATTTTTGGTTCTCCAAGGTCACACGGCCGCTGCCTGAGTATGAGCTCCTGCAAGTGCAGGCCTCGCCAGAAGGATCTCACACCGTCATGTTCCATCACTAGAGACTAGAGTATTAAAAAATATGTCATGTTTAAATCATTTTAGATACATGAAAATAGATTCAATATTTAATCCGGAATCAAATACGGTCAAGTGTCCAACATATTTTCACAGATGAACCATTAATACGTAATTATTATAATTATTCAATATTATTCATGTACATTGACTTTAAAATCACTTGAAAATCAAAACACAATATTCATGACTCGTGCATGTCCTTGAGTCAATTCTCGCAGTATCATACGACGTATGCACAGAGGTGGTGCATCGGCATGGCGCTCGAACCTTGTGGACACCCATGGATTGCTGGAAAGCGACGCCAACATCAGAGCCGGAGATGCCGCATTTCGAATGTCGCTTGGTGATCTTGGTGATCTTGGTGCAACTGAACAACGAAACCACATGTTTTGCCACATGAAACCACATGAAACCACTGGCAAATTCTGGCAAATCATGGATAATAAGAGGGCTGTCAGGAGAAATGAACATGGTGATTCTATCAAGGATAGTGAAACCAAAGATGTTTGAGCCGCAAAAGTACAGGAGGAAAGGCAGTCAATCATATTTCATACATGATAAAAAAAAAGAAAGCGACGAACATATTCAGTTCAACCTGCGTTGGAAGCCCCGGCAAAAAAAAAAAACATGCATTTTCACAGAATCGATCTTGAAATCGTTATCTAGCCGAATTTTTGGCATGTTTGGTTTGGAAAACTTCTGACCCATTGCTTTGTTCACAACTTCTGAGGTGATTTGCCATTCTCCATTGGAATTGGGCACACCAGGATACTCGTTCAAGATTTGATTAGATTGGATCGAATTGGCATGTGGCCTGTGAGTCTCACTGTGATGTTTGACTTCACCATTTCAGATCTTACAGACTGCAGGTCAATCCATGTCAATCTTCATAATCTTCATGGCAGGGTTCCTTCAGTTCAGACTCCGGAGGCATCGTTTAACGAAGCACTACCTGCAGCCCGGGCATTGTGGATTGGGCTCCCTGCTGGGCCAAGCAGAGACGCAGTGACTGGGTGTAGATGCGGGGATGACACGAGGGTGTTTTGCGGATGTTTTGGCGATTGCAGATCCAAAACATTCCAAAACCAATGGCATGTGGGGGATCGTGGGGGCACATGGAGGTATCCGGTACCCCGACGGTACCACCTCGACCAAGGTTCAAAGACTTAGCTGCCTCTCTAAATCAAAGCTATGGCCACATCCCTTGGTGGAAGAGATTGGAGCCCCCGGCCGGCTTGCAGAGTACAGGCTCAGTACGCCGCTAGGCTGCAGATCTCAGATATTCTCAGATTTTTAAAGTCCCACATCATACTAAAACAGTGTGCAATCTGGCATGGCCAAGCCAATTCCACCAGGATCGTGCGGATACTTGTGTATGTGTGCAAGAGCATGGAATCCACACAGTCACTACACAAAGTGAATAAACATCAAATGAAGAATTATGAATCATGAATAATCATGAATATATTGAAATATTATGTCTGAATAATTATTATGAATCATGAATAGTAGCGAATGCATTGATACACCAAGGTTTGTACTCCTGTGACAATGAGCGCAACCTTGGCAGCTTGGATTTGCTGGTGGCGCAACTTTTCCCCGAGAAGCTGGAGGACCAATTCGAGCTGTGGGGTTGGCGATGTTCGGATCTTTTTTCTTTGGGGGGGGGCATTTTTTTTCACAACATGACATCCCTATCCCTAGCTCGAAATACAGAATGCACTGAGATACCTTTGGATTTTTTTGGATATCAAGATTGGGCAGTTGGTCCGTGGTGCATTGTGTTCTTTTATTTATTTTGATTTTTTTGGATTAATTTTGAATATCTGTTGATTCTTATCCTTTGGCACAGGGTCAGGGCGCGCAGGGCGTAGTCCGCTTATCCTCCGGTTCGGGGTGAAAATAAACAACATATGGCACTCACCATCACTCACCAGGTATAGCCTGGTAGAACCAGCTAGAGCCAGGAGTGGTTGGAGGTCGAACAGGGTTGAACAGTTGAACAGTCTTGTATAGTCTTGTGTCATTTGGTGTCACTGTGATTCTAATACTGTATTTTATGATTCTATATCGTCTATATCATTAGGATACATTAGGTAGTTTTGTATAGTTTTATCATGTTTTATCCCTTGGGCATCCTTGGGCATCCTTGAGCATCCTTGGGCCATCTTGGGCTGCGAGGCATCAGTGGACACCATGCCTCCGAAGGACCGGAAGCGAAAGCTGCTAGATTTGCTGAATTGAAATGGGCGTCTCAGAGTGCGTGGTACTTGATTCGCACTCCTCACAGTCAGTTGTCAAATTTGTCAAGCATTTCCATTGAAAGTCGCCTTTGCATGTCTTTTGTTATCTTTTGTTTGCATGTGTTGTATTGTTTTGACTCCAGGAGGATCCATTTGAACTCCCAGGTTTCGTGTCAACCTCTCCCTGCGATGGCTCTACTCTGCCCAAGCTCCAGGTCAGGTATGATATGGGCAAAAGATGGCAAAAACATGCAAACACATGCAATCCAAGATACAGCCTGACACAGCATGGTACAGAATCGAGAGAGGATAAGAATGGATAAGAATGGATAAGATCAAATAGGCCAAGATAAGCCAAAGCATGATGTATCCGGGAAATGTTTTGCCGTAGCACAGCTCGGCCGGACATGTTGCTTGAATTTGCTAGAAGTTTGTGCAGTTTGTGCTCACATCTCGGCAATTTGGCGTGACTTGGCCTTTGTCATCGTGGCACCATGCTTTGCATCACGAGGAGATCCACGCGGACAACGACTTCCGCGATTTTGCGTCACGATGGCGGAGCCATGCGAATGCCTCTAGACTCTGGTCAGAAGGTTCAAATATAGTTATTATATAATTAATTATTCAAGAAATGATTGAAGAAGTTGAAGTCAGTTGAGATCGGATCTAGTGCCCAACATCCTGGGAGGCTTTAAACATCATAGCGTCCTGTTTGAGTATTGTTGTCTTTTATATTGGTTTTGGATGCGAGTGCGTCATTCAATTGTTTCAGACGTGAATAAGCTGCGTACATGTGAGGAGGCAAGCCTAGAAGTTTCCCCGAAAGCGTGTTTCCAATGTTTGACCAAATGACATTCTGCCCGAGGTTACTTGGAATCATATGTTGTACGATTGCATCCTGACGTCAGGCTGTGCAGGCACCTGCCCATTTTTTGTGCCATAGCAGGACTTTAGAATATGCCAAGCTCCAAATAGCTCCAACTAGATCCAAAATGATCCAAAGAATTCCAAAGAGGCGCAGATACAGAAGACTCAGTTGAACAGAAACTCAAAGGAGTGAATGCTGTGAGACCTGGAAGGCTTGCCTTTGCCTCAGGCCATCTCCTCTGAGCTTGCCGATGAGGCACCAAGTTTTCTTTCACATTCGCCACATGTTTTTCCATGTTCCTCCTCCCATTTGGCAGCAAGTAGCGCACCACGTGGCATGCAATCGATTCTGGCAACCCATGTATGCTTGCTTCACCGGCTGTGCGATGTCACTCGAGACACACCTTTTACATTTTTGCACTTGCCGCAAGTCATTTTGACGTATTTTGACATGCAGTTGCACATGTTGCACTTGCCAGGCATTGTATTGGGGTTTTCAGCAGTCGACAGCTGCAGTCTTCTACAGCAACTGGACCACCTGGGATGCATCCCAAGCGTTTTTTGACTCAGAAATGGCAAGAGAAAGATTAAATCGCTACATGGACGGCATATGACGGCAGTACGAACTGGTGGTGCTTTCAGGTGGATGTGTGCAAACCCGTAGCTGGCTTTCGGTGCAACCACGGAACGTAGATGAACCATGATGAACTGATGAACCTAGTAGGGTTTGGCGTGAAAATATTGAACTTCAAATTTGCAAGGAGGTTCAGTGATGTTCAGTGAAAGTTATTCAAAGCAGTCATGTTGCATTCTGTCCTTCGAGTCCTTCGAGTCGTTCTTTTGTGCTGTGGGACCAGGTTACAGTGGCTGGCGCAGAGGATGCATCATGCCATCGAACACGGACTTCCGAAACTAGCTTTGTGGTCAACCCATGACAGCAACTTGGTACATCTTCGCACATCTTGGCACACAATGCAGATATATGCAAAATTGATCAAAATTGTGCAAATCTATATATTAGATGTTTGTTTAGGCATATTCGCGTTGCTAGCTGCAGCAATGTGTTATCGATTGTTATCAGTTCTGACTATATGCCAGTGTGTTGCAAATTGGTAGAAACTTGTGCAGGTTTTTATGCCTGCACATGTTTGTCCATTTTCATGTATACCAGTATTATTTGGCTCTTGCAGTGCTTGCAGGTGTTCGGTTTGTTCTACGGCGATGTTTCGGCATGTGTGACAGCCCCCCGCCCCCCGAGGTACCATGATTTACCTTCTAAACGCGCTCCATGCGTGGGACGCTGTGCCAGAAAACTGGGTGACCTGAGGACCTCAGGGGCAGCCAATCACGGAGCCCCATGAATTTCCACTTCAAACATGTTCCCCGCAACCCCCTGGTTCGCCCACACTCAAACAACACATCCAAAACAATATTATATACTTGTCACCAGAGGATCAATGAAATCACTGGCTATACGCAGTGATTTTGACTTTAAGTTTTCATGATTTAGGGTTTTAATTTAGGGCATTTAGGGTTTAGGGTTTTAGGTTTTAGGGTTTTGGTGTTTGTTGTTTTGGAAATTAAAAAACTTAAACCCTGCGCAGGGATTGAGCATGTCAAAGGATATACGGGATTGGCCGCAGGCAAACCTAGGGGTTGCAGCGAACATGTTCAAACATCTTGATGTATTATGATGTATTGTTTACTTCAAGTTTGACACTGCCTTTCCCGCATCCTGCTGGGTTTTCCTTTTCGCAAAAATATCGCAAATGAACAATAGAGCTAAAAGATGTCTTAAAGAGCAATTCATTCTACTCCGGGTTTGAGCCTTTCACGTCCTTTTACTGCATTTATATGAATTTAATAGGATTGTTGGGCCAGGGTTGTCCATTGTTATTTGCCTGTGGCCACCACCTTTGTGCATCAATGGCATCAGCATGGGTTGTATTCCGAGAAAGTGCCAACTGGGAGCCCGTGGCGGTGAAGTTGAATCTACTTTTGCTTCATTTCAATGCTTCACATACACGTAGCGCCGCAAATTTGCAATCACTATTATTGCCAACACTTGCCAAGATAGAAACATGGATGTAAACACACACACAATCACACATACACGCATATGCGTATGCACATGATAAACGCGCATGATATGCATGTTTGATGTCAATCAACATTTACATACACGTTTATTTTGAATGGATATGCGTGATTGTTGTAGTTGTGCCAGCAAGTACCCGGGCCGCCGGGAAAATTTTGGAAAGAGTAGTTGCTGTGGAACATCAAGGGCCTATAGGAAGGTGCTTTGAATTCACACGTCATTGAATGTCGACGGAGTGAGATGCAATGATTGAGCTAATCCCTTCCTCCTAATACTAAACGTCCCCCTAATACTAAAAACAGGCATCCATCTCCAATTTCCGAAAATTTCAGTTTGGCCAATTTGACTTTTAATTGATCCCCTTTAAAAAACAATTCAAAAATCAACCTACCATTTGTGGGTTCTCCCCCCTAATACTAAAAACTAATTCATCCCGGGGTGTTTAGTATTAGGGGGGCTAGTTTTTAGTATTAAGGGTTTTAATTTAGTATTAGGGGTAAGCTTCGAACTGCCATTTTTGGCAATATTTTAATTGCGTTATATAAGGAAATTTAATTGATTTTGAGATCGGAAAAAATAGTTTTTATATTAAGGGTTTTAATTTAGTATTAGGGGTAAGCTTCGAACTGCCATTTTTGGCAATATTTTAATTGCGTTATATAAGGAAATTTAATTAATTAATTAACATGATTTCGATTTGGTTCCCTAATAATAAATACCCCCCTAATACTAAAAACTACCTGCCGTGTTTTGTATTAGGGGGGGGGGTTTAGTATTAGGAGGAAGGGATTATTGAAATGATAATAAAATGAGATGTAATAGATGCGGGAATGAATGAATGAATGAATGATAATGAATGACATTTATGAATGGAATGGAATGGAATGGAATGGAATGGGTGCATGCGAAGCCGGGCCCAATACGGGTTTGGCGGGGCGGTGTCGCCGAAGGTCCGTGTGGAGGGCGCAGCTAAAAATGGAATGCAATGTAATGGAGTGGAATGCAATGGAATGGAATCAAACAAATGAAAGAGCACATGAATGAATAGGAATGCATAAAAAATGAAAAGCATTCACTGAGTGTAATGAACGCAGTGAATGGAATGAACGCAATGAATGCATCCATGTAGAATTTCATCCCCAAGCTACTTTTAATCCAGGTCACTTGCCACGTGTTCTTTGCGCAAGCTCTTCCAGGATCTGTTTCTCTACTCAGCCACCTCTGTCCCGCCTCTTTGAGTTTCTTCTCTTGGACTGCCTCTTCAGTGCAAGTCTTCTCTTCCTGCGCCCTTTCCCAGGCGTTTAGCAACCTCCAGAAGCAATCCCGCATTGCACTTGACGCACCATTTTGCACCACAAATCGTCTGGGACTTTTTGTTTGCCACTCTGATGCTTCAGGGCTCTCTCTACATTCTCGTACGCATGTTTTGGAATATTGTAATTATTGTAATTGACATGATGATATATGAACGCTCTTAGTGGATGGTACTAGTATATTCATGTATATTCGCTTCCTATTAATTAGACGCACCGCACAGATGTCATTGGCGTTTTGCGACCTAGAATGTTCATGAATATCCAAAAAATCATGCCCAACGGCAAGATGTACTGAGGACAACATTTGGCCAGGCAGGGGACGTCGTTTCCGAGGGGAACTTTGATTTCAATCATGAGGGAAGTCTCATGCGGTTGCAGTGGACTTGATCCTGAACCATTCTGGAATTCTCGAATATTCTCGAGGCTATGGTAGTGCTTTGGTTCTGGAGCTGTACGCCGACCGCACGGCCCATGAATTTCTGGTGCGAATATTGCGAGATGGGCAACCACTGAAATTGGGCCTGTGCGACGACAAGGCTAGCTGTGGGGTACTTGTTGATGGTTGTGGGTGTATTAACAGGCAGAGCAACGCAGGTAAAGCGCCAAAGTGCAGATTCAACCGTCAGGTTAGTCCAAAAAGTAATATAAAATAAGATGTTTAAGATTTTCAGAAATTTTCAGAATGTGGAAAGTGGCCAAGAGCATCCTTTTGCTTAGCTGGCGATGCGATATTGCAGATGCCAAACATAGACTAAAGAATCTGCCTGCAGTGTATGATTAGGATACATTAGGATAGTGTAGGACTGTAGGAGATGAGTTGACTGAAGCAAGAGATGTGATGCAATGTCCAAGAGTATGAAGCGCCCCAAAGGGCGACACGGGATCAAAAGAACTTTGGGAGATAGCCCCTCACAAAGTTCAGATCAAGCAATACGGTGGAAGGCAAGCAGCAGAAGAGAAGCTGAATCTTTTGTGCATGATTGCTTCCAAAGTTTCCTCAAGGATTACAACCTGTTGCCCCCTTCGACACCTGCTCCGCCCACTGGTTCAAAAAAAGGTGTTGTGTCCCTTGACTCGCTTTCTGTTACTTGGCATTCGGAAAGCTGCGCGCGTGTGGTTTACTTTAGTATATATTAACATATATATATTATATATATATATTTTATTATATTTATTTATATTTATGTGAGTGCTATGAAGTGAAACTTTCCTGGGTACGCCTCATTGCTCAGTGCAAAAGATGAGAAGATAATGGGAAGTTATCGCCGAGAGAGAGATGGCCAGTGATGGCACATGGTGAGGATGAGGATGAGATAGGATGAGCATGGACGAGCATAAAGACGTCAAAAGCGTGCATTTAAAGAATCGTCGGGTGCAAGCAGATTGTTTTCTTTTTGTATTCTTCTTCTTTCATGTCGGATCAGATCGGATCGATGTCGGATTGTGATAATTATGGATATTTCAGAAATTGTGTCATGGTTTCGGATGTCTCGTTTCTTCTCCTACGAGGCAAGCAGTTGAAAGCACCAAGCCACCTGCAACACCCTGCACGCCGCCGACTCCGACCATGGCCCTGTCGCTGTTGTCCCAGGCCTGTCATCGCAATGAGAGGACCATGATGAATCAATGATGACAATTGTCAAATGCAATGCCAAATTGTCAATTTGTCAAAGCTACCGTTGAGAAATGTTGAGAAGGCAACAGGCACCTAGATCCTATGTGCTGTGATATCAGGACATGTATAACCATGCGCGTCATCATGTACGATCATGTACGTGTTTCCTAGGCATCTTCAGGTTCAATCAGTCACAGCGATGTTGCGCATGTTGGCTCTGTGAGGCCTGGCAGCCCACGGGTCTGGCAATGGTTGCAGTGGCTTTAGCAGCTGCGGCCTTCACTTTTGGGCTGCATGCAGGCATCCTCGATATCCCTTGATATCATCCTTGATCATCCTTGATAAGGATTCGTCAAAATCCTTGTTGCATCTTGGGGTCATTTCACAGTTCACACTGCTTTCACATCACGACGCCAAGATACGCCGAGCTGGGACAAGTTGCTAGGGCCTACGAATGTTTTGAGGACGCTGAGAGACATCCGATAACCTCCGAAGTATTGTGTATTACTTCACTTCTTGTGGACTTTCGGAGCAAAATGAAGCTGAAGCTGAGCATACTGCAGCGGTTCCATGTCTTGTTACTGTAAGCATCCGCATCATCGCGCTATGCAGAAGAGATCATGGCAACTGAAAGGCTAAGAGCCGGTTGAGTTCACAAGGTGCATGCTCTGTCAACAAATGAATATACAGTATACAGTATATACTATATACATATATATATACATATATATACAGAATGCAGTGTACAAACAGCTCCAACAGCATATAAACAATATCAAACAATCATTTTCTCTTTCCCTTGATCTTAGTTTTTCATCATCATCATCAGTATCAGTATCAGTTTCATTTCATCTTGATCATCATCCTTATCATCCTTGTCTTCATTCGATACTGTTGGACACATCGCATACCCACCTTGTACATAAAAAAAGCACAAGTCATGGCATACTGTGTGCCATCTAGACACGGCATTGGAAAATGTATGAAAATGATTGAAAATGTCAATTATATACGTAGCGGGTCTCGGGTAAGGATTTTTTATCGCTTTAAATCGGAGAAGATCATTTTGCGCAGGTTTTTCTCGGTGAGTTGAAATGCCGTACGCCCATACTGAAAGATTCAGAATTTGTGCATTTCAATTTCCTAGATGAAAATAGATGAAATACATTGAAATACATTGAAATACCTACCTTTCGTCCACCTTATCCCTCTCAAGTTGCATTCCTGGCGTTCCTCTACTCGGATTCTTTCCTCACACTGTCTGCAGGTTTCTGGCGCCAGCCTCCACTTCTCTCGGAGCGGCTGCTCACAAGTGGGGCCTGAAGAGCGTTTAGCATCGTTTAGCATGGAGCAAAAAAGCTACCGATGCCTGGGGCAAAAATTGGTTTTTAAAAAATGCAAGTATTTGCAAGGGAGTTCCTGGGCGGGTGATTATATTGAGACTCTAATTATTCAACTACGTCGTAACTACGTAATAATTTTCTTTTCGTCGTGTCTTATATTTCTTCCATACTTTCGATTGTCGCCACGCATCGAGCAACAAACTCTCTGGAGCCAAATATGACTTTTGAGGTTTTCAATGGTTTTTGGATATGCGCTATGGTCTCACGTGTATGTGCACTTCTTCCGTGTGTGTGTGTGTGGATCTCCATCTCTTTTTCTGTTGCTTCTTGGACATGGTTTTCCTGTAAGGTGTCAGAGGATGGGCACGACCCTCAGCAACGGCGGGTGCGAACCCTGACAGTTTGGACCAATCATGACCAATCAATCTCCCGGAAGCCACTCCACGTGAGTCCTGTTATTCCAATAGATTCATATCGTTTTTTTTGCAATTTATGTGCATCGCGATGTGCATTCATGTGGGTTCCTGATACCTCTTTCTGCTTCAGTCTGACACAAACTTGCATCAACCTCAGCTCCAGCTCAGTCCTCGCCGTGTCCAGGATTATACCATATTATACCCATCATCTACGCATTCTAAAAGCATTTCTAAGGTGGTTGCCGTTGCCGAGGTTTAGAAGCGGAGATGAGTTGAACTTGCCATAAATGCAGCAGGTTTGCAGCTGCAAGATGCAGTAGAAGTAGTGGCAGTGATTGTGCTGGCAGGTGATAATGTGGATAAAAGGAACATCCACATGTTTTCAAATGGCAATTTCCTCACTGGACAGACTGTGGCACTTTCCTGTCTTGATGCCGCAGACAGTGCGCGAATTAAGCCCAACGAACCCAACGTACCTAGATCGCATTAGATCCCCAAATTGTAACCTCGCTTTGAAAAGGCCGGAATTGCTGAAGACTTGACCTCGGACTACCGCAGATTTGGTGAGCGCTCTTAGTTAATTTAGTTGGCAGTTTGACACACCCCCAGTACGTAAGACAATGGACAGACGACATCCATCAAGATCCACGAAGTGCTCTGTCCATTTGCCTTTGACCTTTGCATGCTGCGCTGCATCATGTGTGCGGAGGGTATCTTGAGCATGTTCATATGATTCACGCATACTGAGTTTGATATAATTTGGATATATTTGGATTAATTTGGTATCTGCTCGCATGCTATACATAAGAGGGAGAGACAGCACACGTTTGTACCAAAAAAAATCGCTGCGTGACACTCTTCAATGCTTTTTCGGCTCAGCCTTCTGCAGCGGCAATACCTCGGAGGCAGGGATACGTTTTTTCGTCGCGAGGGCAAATGGAGGCAATAAAAAGAATGAAAAACATTGAAAAACAATCGAGGCAAAGATGACCACACTGTAAAGATTGGCGTGCCTCATTCTCACAGGTCCTGCATGTTCTTCCGATAGGTACCAGGTAGGCGCAAGTTTCACCCAACACTGAACTATGCTGAACTATTAGTATATATATATATGGTGCTAGTGTGAAAAGGGCAAGATGGAGCTGTGGATCTGTGGATTCAATGTCCACCTCGCCAAAGGCCGCAATGTCCAGCGCAACGGACTTTGAGGAGCTTGCAAAGAGGCTGGCCACAAAGGATTGGTTTGGTGAAGTCGAACTTGAGGCAGTTCGAGTTCGGGTCGTTGTATCGACTGGCTTCCACCACCTTACTACGATTTGAGATGATTTATAATTAATGATTTGATATGATGTGTATTATATATACATATGTGTGTGTGTCATATATATACATATTTATCACATATTATATATAATATATCATGATATATATATATATATGTATACTAAGATGTATATAGTCGGCATGAAGCTGCAAGTGCACAGGGGTTACATGGGGCACAAAACATACCATAGCAGCATAGCATGTCCAAGCGTCATGAGTCAGCACAACTTGTCGATAGTCAACTCCGTTCCCAGGTGCTTAGATGCACGAAACTCCAAGCCAGGCAAGCCTGTTTCGTGCCTTGGCAGACTAAACAGACAGCATTCGGACATATTCGGACATATTCGGACACAGGAGTCAAGCGAGTAAAGAGGTCTGGATGAGTCAAGATTATGTCAAGATAATTCAAGATAGATTTTTTTAGAAGCACAAGTTGAAATATCTATGAACTCAAATCTGATGCACTGCAACAATCCATAAGATGACAAGAGATTTGATGAGATTTGTGCTCAGGTTCGAGGAGCTCGAGCTAAAAAGTTTGTGCCTCACCGTCGGGAGCACCTAGTCAACTCATGTCAACTCCATTCGAATGACCAACCTCTTGAAGACTCTTCAGATCTTGATCATTTTGACATATTTTGACATTTCTCTATATCCATCTATACCATCTATATTGTATATATATATGCTATATGTATGCATGTGTGTAATGGAATGGAACGGAATGGAATGAACATGGACTGAAAATGGAATGGAATGGAATGGAATGGAATGGACTCTATGTATCTATCTGTCTATCTACCTACCTACATACCTACCTATCTATCTATATATCTATCAATCTAATCTAATCTATGTATCTATGTATCTATCTATGTATCTATCTATCTATGTATCTATCTATCTATCTATCTATCTATCTATCTATCTATGCATCTATGCATCTATGTATCAATGTATCAAATATGAGTCTATGTATGTAATGTAATGTAATGTAATGCAATGTAATGTAATGTAATGTAATAGTAATATTATGATATGTTATGATATGTTATGTTATGTACGTACATATGCATATACATGTACATTCACAGATACATATACAATCATATAAATTTACATATACAAATACATATGAGTACGTGCACACACGCATTATATAAATTATACATATACCTTATCCATATGCTATGGTTGCTCAGATGCGCTCAGGTTCGACAAACATTCCTGGCACAGAGTCCCTTTCTCGAGCTGGAAGTTTGGGGCCCAACAGTGAATATCTTTAGGTGAAACTGGTGAAACCAGCTGCAATGAGACATGCATGGCACAGTGCATGGAGTGAAGCATTGCATAGTGATTGGAACATTGCTTGTTTCCATTTGTATTCCATTTGTTTCGAGGACTTTTGTGATACCAACTTTAGAGAAACTCGACATGCTAAGGCACCAATGAATATTTGTGGAGATGTTCATGGGTCCGATGCTTGGAGAATGAGTGGCGCAACAGATTGTTCAGAGCGCCAAAATAAGCACCAACTTCCTAAAAATAATGTTGTTTGATTTGTTTGATCTGTTTGCTTGCAGCACGAGCCCACAGTGCCCACATCATTTCGTGGATCTGTGATGATCTGTGAGCGTCAGCGTCAGATACCCCGGCATTCTGCTTTCAATGGCCTGGTGAAAAATTGTGTCATGCCTTCATGACTTGATTTTGCCATGCCTTCCGTCCAATTTGAATCCTTCAAGTCCATCAAGTCCGAGGTCCTAGGATTCAACGCATTCAGCGCAGCCGAGGCAATTTCATGATTTGCTCCGAATGTTCGAATATGGTGGCTGTCCGCCCGGGCCGTCAAATCTTGGCATGGCGGGAGCTCCAGCGAATGAATTCTCTTTTTTGCGGCTGTTCTCCATTGTTCTGTCCTGCAAAGCTGTGATGAACATACAGGTTTCATGATTTTGACAGTGTACTCTTCTTTTAGCATTGAAAGAATGTTTGGAATTCTGGAGAGCGATCCTGTCACTTTACAATATGGTTGATGGTTGATGTTTGCGGGCTTGGTCTTGCAGCATTGGGTGACAAAATATTGCGAATCATTGTGCTCCCAAGTGAAACAGTGCCTGGGCATCCCTCTATCATCCTCTATCTGACTCTATCTGATTCTATCCCTCTGTTGGCGCTGGATGAGTTGAACATCCACCTCCTGTCACCCTGTCACCCTGCATTTTTCCATATTTTTCCTGGATCCACCATGATCCACCTAGGCCGCACAGCAACTACCTCTTTCTCGGAGACTATGTAGATCGAGGCCCAAATGCTCAGAAGGTAACCGAATTCAATGCTTGCGGCACTGAAGCAAACCTCCTCAACGTGCAGCTTTAAGCATGTTAAACGGGACTTGATATGAATTGATGATAGTTGATGGACTTGCTTGTATGCATGCAACCACGCTCTTCCCTTAAGATCACGCGGCAAAGTTGACGACTTGCAGGCAAGCAGAGTCTCGAGACCATCGTGCTGCTTTTTGCCTACAAGGTGTGATTTCCAGAACCCTCAAAACCAAAAGAACCATCAGAGGACCATGACTCATGAAGGAACTGAAGACAGTAATCAATGCATACCAATGCGAATATACATTAGTATTGGTTTTATAGCCAGCATAGCCAAATGCGGTGCCGCAATGCAGGGGTTCCGACACCTTAAGCCGCTGCTAGACGCTCCTGGCAAGGCATTGTACCCAGAGAATTTCTTCTTGCTTCGCCAGGGCCTCAGACACTGACACAAGACACAAAGAGGCACTGAAGCCCTCCGCTGCGAGTTTCAAATTGCTAGTACAGCATAGTTTGACATAGCTTGGAAATGCTCAGACCACTTCACTATCTTCACTTTCTAGATGCTTTCAGCTGAAAAATCAATATAATAAGTCTGCGCGAGCTTGCTCCGCAGCTCCGCATTTTCCATCATTTTCAGTTGCAGGTGGGAACCATGAGAGCGCCTCCATCACACGAATCTATGGTTTCTACGACGAGTGCAAGCGACGATTCAACATCAAGCTATGGAAGACCTTTTGTGACGTCAGATAGCCCAGATAGCCCAGGGACCACAGCTGCCGCCGCAGCCTGGCAGGGGCAACGACAACTCAACAGATTTGACAGTTATTGAAAATATTATATGTTGAATTGAAAGTAAACTGAGACGTTTGTGACCCGATGGCCCCCACGTCTTTGGCACCCCTCGCTGGATATAGTCATGCCATGTCATGCCATCTATTGATACGTCCTTTGGGGCCATAATGGGCCATATATGGCCACATGCTCAGGTGTTTAACTGCTTGCCAATCAGCGCTCTGGTAGATGAGTACCTCCCTTAGAAGAATTCGCAAGAAGTTTCCTGTGCCAAAGAGGCAGTACATGGAGTAACGAGATGTTCGCCGATGTTTCCTTGAAATCTTGGCTTCTGACTTCTGCTTGGTTTTGCTTGACAACTGCTCTGGCCCTTCCAATGGTTTTCTCATCAGATCCTGCTGTGCTACGAACAGGAAGGTCATTTGCATGCATGGCGGCCTTTCCCCGGAGTTGCAACACTTCGATCAGGCAAGCAGAAGTCAACTGGAAAGGGATACTGGATGATACTAGGTCCTGTAGCGTCCTGTAGCTGGAGCAATGGCCAAAGTAGTCACCTTTACAACGGCGGATGTGCTACATGGCACGCATGGCATGTGAGTTGCACTTCAGGCCAAATCAGGCCAAGATCATTTATCATTTACTGTATCAATATTTATGGATATTTATCGTTTATCATCATTTACAGTATCAGATTTGTCCACTACAAGATGCCCCGACCAAAGTTTCGTTTTGAGTCTTGCAAGCCAAAAGCATCAAATTTGTTTGACTCCGCATGATCCCGGTGCATGCCAAACATGTTCTCCCTCAGTGTCTCGGAATCCTTGCCTTATCTTGCGTTCCACTTCCACAATCTTCCACATGCCATTGTTCAAATCCACAAACTTCAATGTAATTCATTATAGTTCTACCAGGTCCGCTGATCTTCTGTTCCAATTCCAGATAGGGAGAATGCAATCCTAGTATTGATGCATTTTTCTGGATGTTTCTGAATGGTTCTGCTTTGAAAGCCTCGCCTACCTGAATCTATCTGACCGAACTGACCGATCCAAAGCTCCGCAGATCCGGAAAATTGTGCGGCCCACGGATGTGCCTGACTCCGGTTTGGTATGTGACTTGCTGGGCCCTCAAGATCCAATGCCAATCCTTTTTTACCTTGTAGCTTAATGATGCTTAATGTAGATCACACAATATCACACCATATCACACCATATGGCGCAAAATTTTGATATATTTCAGTGCAAAGCCAGCCGGACAAGCTGGCAAGTTTTTTTTGGCGACCGTGGTGAGAGAATAGGGGTCTGGGGGAGGTGTTGCCGTATGGCTCGAAAATGGGTGACGGTGGGGTATCGATTCATCCCTGGTCCGTGATATTGTTGGGGCTAAATATATAGCTAGACAAATATTGGTGCTAAATAAGTAGACAAATAGATCAATAGATAGGCAGATAGATACACAGATAGATAGATGTGTAAGTAGATGATAAGATAGATCGGTAGATAGATGGAGGGATAGATCGCTAGAAATGAGACACGGAGAGGTGGAGAGAGTGAGAAATGGACAGCTCGATGGATGGATGGACAGATAGATCGATGGATAGACGGGTAGAGCTCAATAGATAGATAGATAGATAGATAGAGAGAGATAGGTAGATAGAAGACAGATAGATAGATAGATAGATAGATAGATAGATAGACAGATAGACAGATAGACAGATAGACAGATAGACAGATAGACAGATAGACAGATAGACAGATAGACAGATAGACAGATAGACAGATAGACAGATAGACAGATAGATAGACTGGATAGACAGATAGATAGATAGATAGATAGATAGTTAGATAGATAGATAGATAGAAGATAGACAGATAGACAGATAGACAGATAGACAGATAGACAGATAGACAGATAGACAGATAGACAGATAGACAGATAGACAGATAGACAGATAGACAGATAGACAGATAGACAGATAGACAGATAGACAGAAGACAGACAGAAAGATAGACAGATAGATAGATAGACAGATAGATAGACAGACAGATAGATAGATAGCTAGATAGATAGCTAGATAGATAGATAGATGGATGGGCCGGGATCAAAGAACTTTGTTGGCAGCAAGCTTCAATGACAAGCTGACATAGAGCTATGCTGTTCCTTCTGCTTGGGAGACATGTGTTTTGCGATGGCAGTTGGTAGTTATGCTTGCAGACTTTGAATGGGAGAAGGGACCGTAGAGACGGGCGGCCACTATCCAGGCTTCGCTTCAAGAGACAGCGGCAAATGCGAGCGTTCTGTACTTCGCAAAAGTATTCGCCACGGCCCATTTATTTTTCCACGATCCCAGGTGATCTCAGGTGTATCAACGTGTATCGTCAGAAACAGATGACGTGACGGTCCACGTCATGCAAAAGATACCGCATGTGACATTGACACTTTTGCACAGCAGAGCTGCCAAAGGCCAAAAGGAAAGGTCCTGCTCTGCTACAGTTCTGTTAGACTGCTGCATCTGCTTACCCTTGCATTTGTAACCTTTTTCTTGACAAAATATGAAATCTGTGAAGCATGCGTTCTTCAAGGCCGGCTTTGATTCTGCCGCTTCTCCTTAGCATTACATTTGTCGTGTTCGTTGTTCTCACCATATGCGGGCGCCTTTATCCACTCGTCCATGTCTTCATCTCACATCTAGCTCTCTAGCTGTCATCCGCTTGTAGCCAAAGACAGATGACGTGACGCAGTGGATATGGAAGCAGGTACCAAGAACCAAATCTAGAGTCTGCATGTTTAGATCACGGTAATGTTAAGCCGTGTTAGGCCTATGTGGGACCTATGTTAGGCTTATGTTGGTCCATGTTGGGCGCTTAGACGCCATGTTATATTCGTGCCATGTTGAGCTTATGTTAAGACAAGAACGGCGTGTTCCTTTTAAGCCTTTAACATCGTTTTTGGATCATGTCGGGACCATGTTGGGCGTATATGGGGCTTATGTTGGGCCTATGTTGATCCACGTTAGGCTCTTGCAGGCTACGTTGGTGCCATATTCGAGCCATGTTGAGCTTGTGTTAAGCCAAGAACAGCGTGTTCCTTTTAAGAGCTCCAATGTTGAAGGTGTTACGCGCTGGAAATTGGCTGCGGTAGGGTATCGATTCCCCCTCGGTCTGGGTTTTCGTGGGTGGGCTAAGTAGCCAGTCAGAGAAATCGATAGAGGGAGATATTTTGCTTAAGAGACTAGAGGTACGTAGTTGGCCAACAGAGTTTTAGGAAGGCGACCGCTGGAGTACGCGCAGTCGTGATGCTTGCGGGTTTGCTGCAACTGGAGAACTCCAATTTTCAAGGTGTTCTGCGCAGGAAGTTTAATGCTTTCAGTCGTGATGCTTACGGGCTTGCTCCAACAGAAGAACTCCAATTTTGAAGGTGTTACGCGCAGGAAGTTTGCTCCAATAGGGTATCGGTTCCCCCTCAGTCCGGTTTCTAGCCAGTGGAACAAATAGATTGAGAAAAATGTACTGCTCGAGAGACTGAAGATACGTAAGCCACCACCAGAGTTTCAGGATGTTTGCGTCAAAACTTTCTGTTGTGCAGTTAGGGCTACGCTACAAGTGGGGGATTTCAATGTTGAAGGTTTTACACGCAGGCAATTTGCTGTTTTTCACTATGAGAGCTGGCTTTCGTTCCCCCCTTCTCAGATATATACATGTGTCTTAAGTATCCTTAATCCTTTGTTTTTCATCAATGATTGTAATGTGTTTCTGTGACGGCAAGTTGTAAAATAAGGATGTTGTATCATGCAGGGTCAACCATGGCACAAGGTGTCCGGAATTGACGCGGTGTCGGACATTTGCTACCCATCAGCACCATCTGCTCTGCACTGCTCCACACACGGACTTCAATGATCCAAACAGCGACTGAGGCTATGGGCAGATCCGGACAGGTGGGCAGGGAGACCTTCGAAGCATGCCATGTTGTGCCCTTGCTGAGCATCTTCCAGGGATTTGGATTCATTGTTGTAGGTATTTCAACGGTGCAAATTACTGTAAAATAGGTTCTGATTTCTGACGTGATTCCGGGTTTCCCGGGCATTAACCAACACTTCAAGTTTGAGGACCGTTTGTTTCAATTTCTATGTTCATATTATATGTATATATACTGTATTTATATATAAATATGCGTGCATTTATTTATATAATTAATTATATATATGTGTGTATTTGCATATATGTGTAAATATATATATGCATACATTTGTTTTCATATATATATTTTTTTTTATTTATATTTACATTATGCGAATATGCAAATACGTAACTGTAGGTATATCGATGGCATTGCACCATGTGTGGTGCCGTGTATTGTATCCGATTGTGCTTGTTTCATTGTGGGCGCAGCTGCGGGGCGAGCCCATTCTGAGCAGCTGGGAATGCTGCAGGGATTACGTTGGCTGGGCAGAGAACGACCGTGGCGTGTCCTACGTTTTTGGGACCGAAACGCAGAGGGCCGTGGATGTCATATCTGGCGACCAATCTGGTGGCAATTCAAGGGTACATTGATCCATATAATCCTTGATCTAGACACGTAGTCCATTGCACTCAGTTCGTCGAACTTTGCCTCAAATTGTTGTGAAGAAACTTCAAAGTACTGCAAGAAGGAAGATAAGAGAACAATTTTCCAAAAAACATCAAAAAACACAGAACTTGGAATCCACAACCCCATTGTCCACATCATTCTTGGAATGGCAGGACAGATGTGGTGGCGGCATTCCTCAAACGTTACAACCTGGATTTGGTCTGCAGGGCACACCAGGTGGTTGAAGATGGGCAAACCTTGCCTGATTGAAGCAGGACGTGGCAGGATGTGATTGTGATTGCATGATGATTGCATACGTTTGCATGGTATGATTACAGTTCAATTCACTGTTCATTTCCGAATTCTGCCAGGTATGAGTTCTTTGGGAAGCGCCAGTTAGTCGCAACCCAAGGATAAGGGTGCAAATGTATGTAAAGAATGGCAAGGAAGCCAGGCCTGACTCAGGTGTAACCCTTGGTTCCTCAAACAAAAGTTGTTTCAACTTCAGTGGGGCTCCTGAAGGTGTTCTTTGTTCAGGCATGTTCATGATATTTCATGATTGTTCGCATGCAGAAGAGTATGCCGAGAGTGCACTTAGCGATACTTAGCGTACTTTTTGCAGCGTAGCTGGTGCAATGCCTATGCCATCCTATGCCATCCTATGCCTATACTCAGGAGTACTCCATGTTCCCTCCCTAAAGATCCTATAAAGATCCTAAAGGCATCTGTAGCCTTTGCCTTTGGCCTTCAGCTGAAAGCGTTTGGATATCTTGGATATTTTTGGATGCATTTGGGCCCGGTCAAGGTGACATTGTTCAGTGCTCCCAACTACTGCGGCGAGTTCGACAACGCAGGGGCGATGATGACTTTGGATGAGCCACTTGGACAATGTTTACTTTATGAAAGATATGAATAGATATGAATATGAAAGTAAATGGTCGCAGTTTGCCAATAAAACCTAATAAAACAGTAATCATTTGCGCATGCATGAAGAGTAATGAAAAGGGTTGTACTGTTATGAGATGAAACCACCATGGACAATCATGGATACCAAGAAGGGCTGATACTGCGTTTGCATATGATGCAATATATGCATATGTTTGCATGTTTGCAGGGTGAATTCAATGAATTATTGCTCATTCGTGCGAACTCCTTTTCAAGATCGTGCCCTCGCTCGCCCAAGGACTCTCATGTGCAAGTTCATTGTGCTCAAGTGGCTTGGGCTTTCACAAGTTTGGAGTATAGCTTTCACATTTGGGGGGATTTGGGGGGATTTGAGGGAACAAGAATCTCGGTTTAAACTCGAAACGTGCTTCTTGCACGTGTTTGCCAGCCCTAGTTGCATGTGAGATTTTCGCTTGGTTTTTTTGCCTCCCAATTTGGCTGAAGCAGTGCTCAAGGGAGCTTTTCATAGACACGCTGTTGGTGACAGGCCCATGGCGAAGAAGAAGTGAGAGCAATTTGAGAGCTATAGTCCAACTATGTCCAGCTGTTCTAGCCCAAGTCTTAGGCATCAAGCGGCACCGCGTTAGGTGCAGATCTCCAGATTTCGGAAATCCGAACTTTTGGACGAACATGTTTTTTTCCCTTGCTGTCACCTATGCGTCACCATGGGCCGTGGGCCATGAAGTGATATGAGTACAATAAAAAATAATATAGAAAATATATAATTAAAAAAACAGGTTATTTGTTTAGCTATGTTTAGCTGTATTTAGGTACAGAATGTGCAAATCTCTGGGATTTATGCGGTCCTTGGGTGATCCGCCCGGTACCTCACTCCTAGTCACTGCTGGTCCATCACGGTCCATGTGTCGCTGGTGGGATCAAGAAATGAGTCGCCTGGATTTCGGCATGGAGCTGAAGCACGAAGGTGCTCCAGGCTTCGGCTTACGTTGCGCAGGTGCTCCTGCTCCCATGTGCTCCAAAGCATTAAAGACATTTCCATGTTCTGCCTGCACCTGGTGATACAAAATGAGTTCGAACATGTCTCCAAAGATCTCCAAAGATAATCATGACATTTCTATGCCATGGCACTTGGAGCCTATTAATTATTAAACCCTATTTATTGTTGTCTCAAAAAGTTGGAGCATGATGCAAAAGGGCCGATACCCGACCAATTCTAGCGGCTTGACTCGGCTTGACTTGCGTGTCCTGGATTTGTTGGATGCACTTCCGTGGGTGATCCATGTCTATTTGTTCTGTTTGTTCTTTGAGTTCTTCGTGCTAATGGGTTTAGGGAAGCATGACAGATCCCCGGTCTACAAAGTTCTACGGACATCTACGGACGGCAATTCAGCAATTTCTAGTCAAATCATGTCAAATCCCTGATCAAAAAAACATCGCACAGATTCGCACAGATTCGCACAGTGTGACCTAGGTGCGTAACGCGGTGCGCAATGTGTATTGCCTGCACCAGGTGCATTCCCATCTCCGGGACAGCGGGCAGTTGCTAGTTGCCAGTTGCCAGCGGTCGCCAGGGCCAGCTCAAAGAGCTTGGCTTTAAAGGCTCCACATAGACTCCGCATAGGCTCCACAGCCGATCTATGCGGATCTATTCCGTTTGGCGTCTCAAAGGCAGTCTCAAAGGATTGCGAGGTAACAAAATGTGAATGTCTTGATCCGTACTGAACACATCTGAACACTACACAGCTGAATCCAAATCATTCAAATGACGGCAGCAACTGATGTTTTCAATTCCAGGCCTGAAAGGTAGTGGCAAGCCTTTTGAGACAGCTCCTAGAGGCACCCGACATAGACGCCCGATATTGGTGGCAGCCCAACACTGATCTACACAGAAACAGTCCAATGGTCCACCGGAGCAGGTCAAGGTCAGACCGACCCAGAACCCAAAGCGGCTTGTCAAAGCGACCGTTTTCAGAAGCCGGGATTATGGGTTGTTGAACCCGATGTCTCATCAGACTTTCCTGAACTTTTTGGAAGCAGTCCAACCCTAGTACAAAATGTACAAAGGAGGTGTTTGAATGTTTTGACAGGTACTTGTTGATTGGTCTAATCCTCTTGGCTTCACACATTGCGAGCAAATGTGAGACTCTTCAAAATCTCCGAGAGGGCGTTGCAAATGCAAGCCTTCAAGGCCAAAGCTGTGCCAACAGATCGTTTGATCATGTTTGATCGTTTGCTTTCGTTAGCCCACGACCCATCCATACCCATCCATTGAAGCAGACCAGAACGTGGCCAGCTGCGGCCAAGGAAGATCAAGCAAAAGCAAAGAAAGACAAATGGAACGCTAAGTGTGGGCAGCAAGGGGAGCCATCCGCTTTTGGCTCCTTCAACTTCCAGTTGGTCATGTTTCCGATTTTGCCCCTAGTATCCCCATGTATCCCCTACTAATAAAATCATTACAGCTTCAAAAAATTAGCTCATTGCCAGCCGTTGGCAAATGTCATTCAACACGCCCTATCGAATCTATCGAGTGTTTGACGATGACGGGGTGGCAGCAGGTTGCAGCAGATTGCACCTGCCACTGTGACCCTCGAAGGCTCAAGTTGCAAAGGAGCATTGGCCAGACAATCTTCAAACATCTTCAAACAACACTTGGCAAACTCAGGAGGCAATACATGAGGTTACAAGACTCAGCACACACCTCAGGCAACTGTTCAAGGAAATAGTCATCAAACCGTCCAGATAAGTCCAGATCTCCAACCTTGTCTTTTACTACAGATATATCGGTTGAAGATTGATAGGAAGGCAGTCCTGAACTTGTCTCCCAGGCCACTTTGCAACTAAAAGCTTGTGAAGCTTCAGATTTGCAGTGCTTCTCAGAAGTTACTCCTATCATATCCTATTCAAGTGAGTTACTCCAATTGGATGTTCGATGAGTGTCATACGGTCCGGTCGGGCTGCCATTGACAAGAGGCAGCCACAAGGGCAACGACATCCCCCCTTGCAACAACCTCAAAAGGAGCAGCAGAAGCAGCAGCAGCAACAACAACAACAACAGCAACAACAAAACCATGGATACTAGTTACTGCCACTGCTGCCGCTACTGCTGCTGCTATTATTCACTGCTGCTACTTGTGTCGTACCAGTATTACCACCGCTACGGCTAGTACCGCGGCAACCACGACCCACAGCAGCACCCATCACTTTACCGGCATCACAGTGAATTTGAGCTGGGATTTCCGGTGATTAAGGTGTGTTTTTTCATCGTTTTTACAGGTCATGTACCGTGAGGCAATTGGGGGACGGTCAGGTAGCGCTCACATTTTCCTCCCTGGTCCGTATCCAGTGAGCGCTATTTGAAAAATGTGTCTGCTGGTCAGCCTCCTTCCTCAAGGTTTGCTCAGGCGTGTCCAACCATGTCTTATTCGCCAGAAACCGTTTTAAGAGTATAGGGCGATATGATGCAATATGGATCTGTCCTCTGTCATTGCTTTAAGTTGGCGTGTTTGAATGTCCAATTCTTGAGAGTGTTTGGAGTCTGTGCTTGCTGGAGCGCCCATTGAAGTGGTTAGTCTATGTAAGGTTTACTCAGGATCTGGATCGGAGGTTGTGCTTGGGGTTGTCTAAGGTGTAGCACTAGTAATTAGCTTGGGTATGCTTGGGGTATATGATGGTATATGTACTGTATATGTGTGTTTTAATTCAGAATGATGACTGGTTGAAGAAACTGTGGGTGGAAGTCTCTGTTATTCGCTGTTATTGCTTTTGAGCGGTTCTGAGTGTATGCATGGTATGCGCACACCTCCTGTAAGGTGCATCCAGGAATAAGTTTGAATGCTGTACTGCTGTACTGAGATTTGCTGGCTAGGAATGCTAGGAAGTTGTGCTTGATGTGTTGCTTTCTTTCGAAATGTTGTTGAAAGAGGCTCCCGCTGGTCTTGTCCTTCCAAAAATAACAGTTTCTCTCGGAACTCTATCAAAAACGTTGGTCTGAAAAGGTTTATCCTGGAACTGTTGTTACTGGTAGAATGTAAGTCTCATATACAGTAATTACTGCAATGTGCTGGTTCAGAGGTTGCCCTTGGCGTTGTCTAAGATGTAGCATCTGTAGCTTGGGGTCTATGCGCGCTCTAATTCAGAATGACCCATGGTTGAATAAACTGTGTGGCCCAAGGTGGAAGATGTGGAAGTCTTTGTTATTGCTCTGAGTGTGTATGTCTGGGTGCAAAGCATAGAATCGTATGTTATGAGCATGTGCCTTTCCTCAAGGTGCATCCAGGAAGAAGTCTTATTGCAGTTCTGAGATGCGCCTAATTAAACTATTTTTTCAAACTGCTTATATAGAGCAAAACGATGCAAAACAAGTGGTCCCAAAATGGGTGCCTTTGGTGCGTGGTACCTTTCCCAAGACCAGTTGCTTTAATGCAATTTTCATCAATGTTCCATGGCGCACATGCCAAAAGGTTTTAGATGCTTTGTGCATGCTGTAGCTGCAAGCATGAAAAGTGGAACGGTCGATTGACCCCTATCGAACTACAAGGCTCCTTATTGTGTTGCTTAGAACAAAACGAGTAGTCCCAAAATGGATGCCTTTGATGCGTGCTACCTTGCCGGAGAAAAGTAACTTCAACGCGATTTTCCATGACGTACATGCCAAGAGGTCTTAGCTGTAAGCATCAAAGTGCAACTGTCGATTGAATTGAGGCCGGTTGAATGACAAGTTTTTCTTAACTGTTTGAGCCAAACCGTTGGTCCCGAAATGGGTGCCTTTGGTGCGTGTTGCAGTTCATGTTTGAACCGAGCGTTGAACTTAATGCTGATGTTTTGCTGCAGTTATAAGGCTTGGGGGGGTAATTGCATGTTTGTAATGGAAGATTGGATCGATGCGTAGCTTTGGGATGGCGCACATGCTAAAACGTTTTCGCTGCAAGCATGAAAAGTGGAACGGCCGATAGACGCCTATCGAAAAACGACTGGTCTCGAAATGGTTGTCTTTGGTGCGTGGTACCTTACGTGAGAAAAGTACTGTAGCTTCAACGCGATTTTCCATGGCGCACATGCTGATCATGCTGAAGGGCTTTAGTTGCTCACATGAACAGTGGAAGTGTTGTTTGACTCGTATTGAACTACATTTTTTTAATTTCTTAGAGCAAAACGAGTGGTCCCGAATGGGTGCCTTTCGTGCGTGTTACCTCGCCGTAGAAAAGTAGTTTTAACGCCGGTTAGCTTTCGTTCCCTCCTTCTCGGGTACTGTGTTTGGTACTGTAGCAATTTGTTGTGGCATATATCGCAATGGCCACAACATCCGCAGGTCACGATGCTGTCTGCATCGGATCCATACTATGTGGCCAAAGAGGAGGTTGCCAAGGCCATGGACCGCTTGCGAGGCCGGTTTTGATGTTCATCGAGCACGGAGACAACGCATGACATGATGGCTCATGGTAGCCCGAAGATGTCCACATTTTTGCTGTCTTCATTCATGATAACAATCTTTTAGACTTGTTTTACGTTTATGCATTTATGCATCTTTGGGAGTTGGGTCCAACATTTCATAGATAGTTGGATCTGGTTGGGGTCCCAATCAGAATAATTAAGCAAGATCCGAAAACCAGTGATAAATGATGAGATGAAGAAAAATAACTCCATCTAGGTCTCACAGCGTAAGCACGTCAAGGCCCTCTAGCGAGGCCAACTTTATAGTTTATAATAAATTCATGATTGAAATGGTGACAGATTGTAAGAGACTGTGATAGTTGATATTAGTTAAGATATCATGACAGTTTACCATGTTTTACCGACTCTGCTGTGACTTCGTCTTCCAGTTCAGTGGGCAATCCTAGTGAGGGTTGGGGCTGCTCTGCATGCGCAGGCCTTCATCAAGATTGGAAGCGCCTCCTGCAGACAGAAGACACAGCACGGTCACAGCGCTTCCAGCAGATGCATCAGGAGATCACAGGTGCTTTGCTCTACCAACTCGCACCAGAAACTGTGCAGAAAGTTTGAAAGATGTATGAACATCCATGAGCATGTCCCATATGGCAATGGATACTACCCGCCATTCGCATGCCATTTAATTAGACAAGAAGTAGCAAGAAGTCGTACTATCTTTTCCTGCATCGAGGGCTGAGCAAATGGCAAACAAAAGAAAACCTTCCGGCCCCAGACTTGTGAATTCCGGCCTAGTTGTTTGAATATTATTGAATATTTCATGATATCGAGTGGTCCGAAGACAACTTGTTCCGGATTGTTCCGGTGTAAAGTGTAGGGAGCCCTTCAGGCTGCGGGGCTGCCAGGTGAGTTGGAACAGCTGGGTTTGGATTTAGACGATATCCATGTGCCTCGTCATGCATCGTCATGCAGGGCTCTGTCCATTCTCCAATTCTGCGGATACATTGTCGGGAAGACAGTGAGAAGACGCTCCAAGAGACCTTTGAGAATTCATGTGTTTTCGTGTTTTAGTTGGGCGATTGGGCCCCGGGTGGTTTGCATTTCTTCTGTATCAAGATGTAACACGTCAGGCTACCATTAGCATGGTGGAGGGGAATCGCAACACTTTCCAACTCAGCGACGCAGAGTTGCAGAGCCGCAAACGATTTGTGACCGATTCTCGAAGAACCTTGGAAGATCTGCAGAAGGACGAAAACTTCGAAATCGGAGACCTTTGGTGTTGAGCAAACCATAGCAAATCTGCAAACTTTCAATGCTGGTTTGAAGGACGTCAATGGCCCCCAAACGCGGGCAAAACTTGAGAATGACAAGAAGGCCGGGCATGGCGGGGCGGGTGCGCACAGAGGCCCCAACGGTTCAACACAAATTCAACATGATGCAGTCGTCGATTCAATTTTACCTGGCATCAGGCCTTGCTTTCTTCAGCGGCTTCGAGTGCTCGTACAAGCAGCTTAGCTGCATTTGAAGTTCGTTTTTAAAATGTTTTGACGCGTCACAGCTGGACTGGACCAGACATTCGGAGAGCACTGCGCCAAATTACTGTAACAACTGGCAATCCTTTGCAGGATTGATTCTTTCTGAATTGCGACTCGGTAGGAGAAGAGCGACAGAGAAGTGCAATGCAGGCCGCGTTGTTTTCTGTTGATACCAATTGCACACCAGAAGGCAGTTGAAGCCGGAGGAGGGCTGTCAGATAGCGCTACGTTGTTCCGTAAGCCCCGCATGGGCTGAGAATTGAATCCCAACACCCGAAAATATCGAAAAATGTCCAAAAGTTTCATGCAATTTTCATTGAAGCTACGATGATGGACAATTGTCAGGAAAACCAAGCATTTCTGGACCGACAACGGCAACAACAGACTCAGCTGAGAGCACAACAAGACGAGGACTCGACGTAGCACATAGCATGCCAACAGATGCCTGCAGGGCCTGCAGCATCATGGTCCAAGGCCCAATCTCTGCAAAAGGAAGATTCCTGGAAAAGCAAAAATCAAAATTCAAAATGATCAAACGGTTTTGTCATGTTGTGTCACCTTCTTGGAAGAACTGTGCAAGCTCAGAAACTTACATCCTTTGTTATGTTTTTATTGGATTTTAATGGATTTTATAGGTTAGGAATTAGGAATAGGAATGGTTAGGACGGTTAGGACATGTTAGGAGCTTCGGTGTTGAAGTTGTGTCTCTGGAGTTTGTCCTTTTGGGTCGAGGATCCGAGGCTCGAGCGTTTAGGTCGGGTCACCGGGTCACCGGGTCATGTTGAGTACAGCCATGCAGGACTTAGAGATGCTTTCGCTGAGTGCCCAGCGCCTGGGCAACACAGCGCAGAGACTTTGCAGCAATGGATTGGGATGATGGGAAGGGTGAGAAAGACAGAAAGACGTGCAAAAAAATAATTTGATTGTGAAAGTTTATAGGAGGTGGTCACAGGCTCAAGTGCAAGAAATGCAAACGGGATTGGTTTGACACTTGCATGCATGGTGTCTTCAGAAACAAGTCAACGCATTTAGAGGACACTAGATTGAACGAGATGTACTAGAAGGAACTATATAGTAGAGGGATAACAAAGGTTGGCACATTCAAGCTACTTGCACATAGATTGCAAGAGAGAGAGAGAGCAACAGCATAAATGAACAAATTGAACAATGAGATAAGGATCATCAACGTGGAACTGAAAGAGCAGCAAAAGATGCTGGAGGAATTGGATGAGGCGCCCACATTTCTCTGTGCGATCCTGCAATGTAAGCAGTGCACTTCTAGCAGTTGACATGGAGGTATTCAATGACAAATGGATTGTGTTCAAGTGTTTTTCCTTTTTTCTAAAGCGACGTTGATTCTGCAGGACATTGACAAAGAAGCAGAAAAGCTGAACTTTGTGTGGAAGCCCAGAGCTGGCCCTGACCCTTTGGCGGGTTACCTCATGTCACCTGCACAACAAAAACAAGCCGAAACAAGCGACATGGGAAGTGTCATGAAGAAGTCGTATTGGAAGTGTCATGCGTCGCAGGTCATGAAGCGAATGGGAAAACTTTTGAAGACCAGCGACAGCAAGCAGCAACCGGGACTTAAAATATCTTAAAGTATCTTAAAGTGACTTGGCAAATAACATGTCTTAGCAAGGGCACTTTCCAGTGTGCAGACAACAAGTTTGAAATGTTGAAATGTTATGCGCTAACCGGACACGTGCCCCAGAGGACTTAAAGCTAGTAAATCCTATTTTGCGACCTTATGTCCGAGCTCATGAACTATTTCATAAGTGACCCGAGCAAAAGGTTTTTGTGATGTTTTGTGATGCAATGTGCTTTCAAGGTTCGGTGTATGGGGAAGGCAGCCTTAAAATTGAATGTGCCACGGATAAAGCTTAAATATCGGGGTGTGGTTGTTTTGAAATATATATAATATATATATATATATTAGAAAGGGGCATGTCAACATTTCTTTTCTGAGTGGAGGGCTCTCCTCAAATTGTGAACTGATCCTATAGATGCAAGCAAGTATACAATATTACAGTTGTGTGTGTGTGTGTACATTGTGGAGGGTGTTCATATTTTAGGAAGAAATAAAGTGATCGGGCAAATACGGGAATAGCTTTGGGGCAAATTTAGGTGCTGTATCATGCAGTAGACTATAATTACCGACTCAGCTGTGCTGCACGATGCTTTGTTTCAATACCTTTTCAATATGTTTCAGTGCATGTGTGTGATGATGTGTGATGATGTGTGATGATGTGTGATGATGTGTGATGTGTCGTTTTTATTCATCTGTTTTTCATTTGATTTTCATTTGTTTTAGGTTGTGCCTCATCATTGGCTTGTCCTGTTTGGTTGCGGTTCTGCTCTTCCTGGTGATTAACACCTGAGTTGGCTCCAGTGCCTTGGTCGGGAGAAACTTCAAGCGGGCAGCCGTTTCGTATCGTTTCGTGGCATTCCTTGTGATCAAGTTGAAAATGGTGGAATATTATCGGAATATTTATGAATATTTCACATGAAGATTCTGAAGATCAAGTTCAATCAATAATAAGAAGGTGTTTGTTGGCTTGAACATTTCGCCATGGATTCTACAAATTGCATTTCCTTCCTGCAAACCAATCACGTGCATCCTGCATCGGTTCTGCAACGGAGACATGTGCAGCGTCTCACCGCTTATGCGCAAGATGCCTAGTACAGGGCCAGAGCATCAACGCCGCAGAAAACGTGAGTCAATGCAAGTGCCAGCTGCATTTTCTTGCTGGGAAGGTTGATAGAATATGACTATGACTATCAGTAGTACCGCAAGGCGGTGGCGGAAGTTTCGAAGATAGGAAACCTATAGGAGAGGTGAGTTGTTGTGATGCATGGATGGCAGAGTGAACCCACTGATGGATCGAAAGGTGGCTGAGGCATGCTGAGGCTCTGAGTCTCGTATTCTCTCTCTTTGTCTCCTGCTCGTCTCTTTCCAATTGTCTCTATCGGATCTATCTGTCTATTTCTGTCTGCTTGCCTCTTTGTCCATCCATTTCTCTGATGATCTATGGCCTTCTCTGTCTATCTAGGTCTCTCTCTCTCTCTCTTTTCCATTCTTTTCCTATCTATCCATCCATCAATAATCGATGTATCCTGTTGTCCTTCTATCTGTCCATTTATCTATCTGTCACTCATTTTACGGTTCCATCTATCGATCCAGCTATCCGCTATCCATTTTTTTCTATCTATACATGTTGCGAGATTCTGCGAGACCTCTTCACTTTTTGAATGTGACACCCTCAAAAACGAAGCAATTCTGTGAGACGTCCGTCGAAAACGGAAAGTCGAGTGTAACCCTAACGGCCTCGTACCAACGCTTTTTACCACTTTTCCACTCCATGTGTCTAAAGTATTGCACATGCCACGAATATATACATGAAAACAGATCATATAGGAAGTGCTGCGCCTGTCACCCAAAATCATCATAGAAAAACCTGAAGATCTCATGCTCCAAAATACAACCACTTGCACGAAATCAGCACCCTGACATACCCTGACCTCATAACATCCCTGACGGAGATATATCTCTTCTACTGCGCTCGCCAAGCGACATGCATTTTTGCAGATCCTTTTCGAACTTGCCACGCGGCCATCGTTTTTGCAATTGTCGCGAGACCCTCACGTTTTGTTCATAATTGGCAAGGTGCAGAATGCATTCCGCCTGCTATGCAAAACCAGATCCTTACTCCAAAAAGTGGTCTGAGACCGTCAGTCTTGACTTGCGAATGTACTTCGCGCCACAACGGAGTGCATTTTTTCGACATCGCAACCTTTCAAGTGGTCTGAACATGTGGTGGTTTTTTTTTTTGCATGCTTGTTGCATGTTGACTTCAAAATGTGCTTGGCGCATCTTCGCGCCACAACGGCGTGCACTTTTTCGACATCCCCACCTCCAAAAGTGTTCCGAACGTTCGCGCCACAGCAGCGCGCACTTTTTGAACATCTCAACTTTCAAAAATGCTCCGAACATGAAGTGCTTTTGGCGTTTTGACTTCAAAATGAGCTTCGCGCCACAACAGCGTGCAATTTTCGATCTCTCATCCCACCACATGGCTCCGCGCCCGCCACGTTAGTGAGATTTAGTGAGCCTACTTTTCTACCCGCCGGAACCACACGACAGTGGAAAACACAGTCTTTCCAGACTTTTCTACCTTTACGCGAGCCTTGCTCTACCTTTTCGCGCGCCTGGCTCTTCTTTCTTCTGACTCTTTCTCTGAGAACTTTCTCTTCTCTGATTTTTTTCTTCTTCCTTTCTCTTCTCTGGCTCTTCCCACCTCTGATGCTTCATTTTCCCATATTGTCGGAAGTTTGACTTCAAATTTTTCTCCGATCATGATTCAATGACCGAATGTGAATTGGGAAGGCGCCACAAGTCAAGCGCATGAGACACACCAACTTCGACGATCATGGTGCGAATGCATTTGCAAGAACGGCCCAAAGAGGCTGCAAGACTGGTTCTGTTTGCGAAAAGACATGCACTTGAAGAGAACTTGATTCGCAAGACTAAGGTAAGAATAAGAAACTATGCAACAAAAGTATCAAAAAGGATCTAAAAAGTTCATTTTTTGAAGCAGTTGCCCGGGGCAATCTTGCCATATATAGTGCCGCATCTAGCGCGCGTCGTCCTGAGGGTTTGAGCCATGGCGAACGAAGACTACCATGAGATGGAAATGTCCAGGAGCAGTGCCATGTTTTGCCAACTTTTGCCACCTGGCTAGTCTTTAGTGATATCCTGTTATGATTGATTGGCCGTTCGATCAGACATCACAGGAATTTAGTGCACACATTTGCACGGCATTTATTACAGTCATACAATGTGATATGTTAATTACTGAAAGGGTGTCAACATATGTTAAGAATTGTTAAGATATGTGAAAAAAACACCTCCAGAAGACAACCCGTCCATGAAACAGTTGACAGGCGCAGCATCAAAATCAACACCATCAGACAGGTTCGCGGCCCCGGTGTTTTCAACATGGTTTGTTTTGTTTTGATTAGGCAGGCGTTCGTAGCTGTTCCCGAGATCAGATGTGATGACCTATAAGTTAGCAACCTGCTAGTAGGAACGATGTTGGCAGCGGGAACAGGAACTGGAAGATGCCAGTGAGCGCGAGCAGGAGGCGCAGGCAGCAGATTGGTCAGAACTTTGGAATGTGGACTGTGGACTCAGTGCAGCCCGTTACGTTTCCACATTGATGTCGTGCCCATGCAATGCCACTGCAATGTCGCTGGTGCCGTTCCAAATGCATGTTGTGCAAAAAAACAAAAATAAAAAACAACTCCATAAGTCGGTTTCTCTTCCAGGAGTCTCAATCTACGTCAGTGCTCGGGACAAACACTGTTACTGTAGATCCTAACTGTGCCATACTGCCCTTCGAAAGAAAACACATCTCAATTTTGACGCATTTGATCCTACAGGGCAGTTGCCTTGGCAGCTAGGAGCGGCTCGCCCAATTAGACCGGCAGATTCAAGAGAAGAAGGCAAGGATTCCACAGGGTTCCTGTCGTTTGTTGACAGCTGAAAGGCTGTGAAGAGTATAGGTGTGTCATCGTGTGTCTTAGAGATCATTTGTATCATTTTGTATCATGTTAGTAATGTTTGATAGATTTTGGCCTTAGTTTTTTCAAAGCCTGCGTCCATTTGCACTTCTGAAGAGCCCCGAAAATTCATGAAAATGCGGCAGTGATTCGTATAGTCCAGGTGCACATTGTGGTGTTCAAGCAAAATGCACAGGCGAGAGAGGGCGGCAAAACGGAACGCATGCACCGTGTTGACGAGCATCGAAGATTGCATCGGCAATATGTGCATCATGCCAGCCATGGACTATATGGACTAATCAATGGCCATTTCTGGAACCTAAATTGGAGGTACCTACCTATATAAGGCATATGTAAGGGAATATCCCAACAAATAAATATGGCCTTATAGGGTACAGTACCTCATAGTACCTCCATTTTAGGATCCTGAAATTCCCATTGAACTAACACCCGGCAGTGAAACTCGTGGCGGTTCTGTACTTTTCTTGGGTTTAGGTTGGCGGACCAAGTCTAGGAAGTCGTTGCGATTCTGGCGTTTAGGTAATTAGGTAACTAGGTTGTGATTTGTGACTCCTGAAATTGGATGAAGTCGGTGCACGCACTTCTTGAAGTCGTCCGACTATTAATGTTGCAATCAGGTGGGCGGAAGGTAAGAAAAGCAAAGGAAGGGGGGAAGAAAGGGGAAGAAAAGGAAAGAATGGGAAAAGGAAAGAAAGTGAGCGCGGGGTCGAGCAAGTGAGCACAATGGACCTCGTTAAATTCGCCGCATGTGCTGCTTATGTGCTGCTTATGTGCTGCTTGCCTGTTGCTGACGTGACTTTTCTGTGCTGACGTTGTGCCATGGGGATGTTGTGATAATTCCCCGCCTGATGTGACTTAATTACCGCGTTAGTAGGTCGTGTTTTGCGAGGGACAGCAGTACTTGCCCAAAAACAAAGTGGGACAGGGCATCAGTGGCATCTTTGAAAACTGGCGTTCCAATACGAATTGACATCAAAACAACTTTTGGCAGTTCAGAGAACCCTCTTTGAACGTGGCGTTTCCATGGGGGACTAACATTTTGCAAGGTCTGTGCTGGGACAGGGGTCGTGGCATGCGTTTCCATGGCGTTCTAGTTTTCCCAGTTAAGTGGAGAGGCCATAGAATGGCCATAGAATGATCATGAATTATCAAGCCTCCGGTCCCGTACCTGGAGACTTTGGAGATGAGTTTTCATTTCACATCATTGCACTCTATCAGTAGACACACTACGTCCAGCTGGTCATAGCTAGTCCAGCTGCTGCCTGACAGGGGATGGAGGATCAAGCAGCTGCGTCGGAGGCCTGTTATAATTGTTGCAGCTGGCTACGGCAGCTGTGTTCATCTTCGATGAATGTGAGGACACTGAACTGGTTCAGTATCACGTAGCTATTTTTGGTGTGTTGAGATTGGATACATTGCTACGGAAAAGAATTCCCCGGGCAAGGAGCAGAGGGCAAGTAGCAGGCGGCTTCCAAAACAGGGAAGAGCACTCACTGTGCATCCACATCTGTCAAAACCTTTTGATGCAAGGCGTTCTGTCTTCAGAACCACCGCTTGATGAAGGAAGATGAGGAGGTTCAGTTCGCAGAGAAGTCAAAGAGAAGATGGAGAAGTGAAAAAGATTCACAAATTCAACTGGTGAGATTTCTCCAGCGCATGTCTCGAGTTCGCCAAAGGAACACTTCACAAATCTTCAACGGTTCCAGTTTCATCAAAGATCGACATGACGGAACTAGGTCCAGGATGGTCCAGGTGGATCACGATTCAACAGGTCCAAGGTCTGAGAGATTCTGAGAGCACTCGGCAGTCGGGTGCTTTAAGGATGTTCGGAGTGAAGCTGAAGCCTTGAATGAGAAATTGGCAAGATCCTCATGGTGATGCTGCGAACATTGAAACACAAACCGAGGACGGAAGGGGGGACCGGAAATGAGAATGATGTTATGAAATATTATGAAATATTTTGAACACTTGATAACAGTGCCCCACCAGAATTCTACACTCCAAAATTGCCCCACAGTGTGTGACACACGTGACGCATGGGAAGGTCCGAGAAGACTCAGTCGACTCAGTGCACCTGCTAAGGCTAAGACGGCCAGATCTCTTGAGAAGGCCCAAGCTGATGCAATACAGGCAAGAGATGGCAAGAGATGGCAAGAGATGGCAAGAGATGGCAAGAGGTCTCTTGATTCATCCACATTTCATATCGTTTCATATCGTATCCACAAAGATGGTTCCTTTTAAATTCGTGCTGCAAAGGCAAGGTCGGCAGGGTCTTGATTGCTTTGGTGATTGTAAGTTGTTGTCATTATATATGATTGTGGTATCGTTTTTTAAAGTAATATATATATATATACTGTAGTCATACACTCATTAAAGGCAAGTATACATGTTTGATTTGTATTGCATGGCAGTTTGCGCACAGTGCTGAACAGTTGGAGGCCCAGAGGGCTGCTGAAGCACAAGAGGAGGCTTCAGAGCGGCTATGTCCGGCTTCTGTGGTTGGAGCACAATTGCACACAATCGAACACAATCGGGCACAATGTGGTTTTCCAATATTTTCCTGACATCTCATGGGGTACTGTGCAAAACTGTGCAACAAGTTTGGCAGAAGTGGTACTGGGGTACTGATACTGTTGAAATGTTTTGAAACCGTGGAACATCCTAAAATATCGTGAAACTTTATGACGCTTTGATCCTAAAGGCGGTTGAAACATGTCGCTATATGTCGCTGAAAGATGTTCGTAAGCTGCTAGGAGGTTCAGAGGCTCCAAGGCCAGAGCATGGCCAGAGCGACAAACGCGAGGCCAAAAAGCGGCAGGCAGAAGAAACCGCCAAACATGCCTGGAACTCAGAAGAACTCAGAAGAAACAGCAAAAGAGAAAGAAAGAATGAGAAACAATGAGAAAGATAGGCAAACTAAGAAAATAATGTAAAATTAAAGGACCGGATAACCCCACAAATCAACTTCTTCCAATGATCACAAGCAGATGTGAAAATGAGATGGGAAAGGCAGGAAGGAAAGGAGATGGTGCGAGACAGGTTGGGTGAAAGAGCTGTGTGAAAGTGTTGTGTGTGTGTGTAAGTTTGTGTACGTAAAAGTGTTGTGTGTGAAAAAGTTGTATGTGACCAAAGTTGTGTGTGAAAGAGTTGTGTGTGACAAAGTTGTGTGTGAAAGGCTTGTGTGACAAAGTTGTGTGTGAAAGGAATCTGTGACAAAGTTGTGTGGAAGAGTTTTGTCTGCCACCAGAGCCAGTCCAGTGCCATAAGCGCCACGCCTGCCACGCAAAGTGACGGTCGATGTCGCGCACCATCATTGTGGCGACCGCCGAGTGGTTGGCGCGGGCTTCGTCGGGCAGCCTTCCTGGCGAAGCGCTTCAAGGAAAGCGATCCATAAAAGGACGCAAAAATTCAAAAAGACTTCAAAAGAGCCAAGTGGCGAAGATCCCAACAAAAGAATACAAATGAATGTGCAAAATGACAAGGGACCAAAGTTGAGGCACAAACTGCTCGTGCTGCTGCTGCTGTGCGTTGCCCCAGCTTACCACCAAACCACCAAAGAGACTCCAAAGAGAAGATTCGTGTTAAGGTTTTGTCACCTTGGGATGAGTTTTCCAGTAGGGGGAGTGGTTACCTTTTGGGTTTCCCCAGAACTACCGGCCACCATGTGGCCCCCTGGGGCGTGGTTCGTGGCGCGGCTGGCCATGCATCCGCGCCCAAGTTTGCAGCAATGCAGCTTGCCCTTTCAAAGAGATTTGCGGCTCTTCAACAACAGGACGGGTGGAAGGAGGTCGGTTTTGACTGGTTTCCCACACTTGGTTCAAGCATCTTGTGTCTATTTTGGTGGCGTTCGCAACTCGAACCGCAGAAGTTCAAAAAAACTAAGAATTTGAAGGTTCGCCGAAAAAGACGTGTCCAACCGAGTCAATATACCTCACTAGTCGTAGACTGATTGCCTGTCGTTGGGTGGGAAAGAGAAGGTATAGGAGGTTGAAGCTTAATTGGAGGAAACTAGGAAAACATAAACGCTACCTGTTAATCCACAAAACGCGAAGTGCCAGATTTTCTCCGCCGCGTGTTTCACATCAGCAAGTTTCACACTGCAGCAGTCCTAGCCGGTCTCACTCAATAGGGTCTAGGCTGTTCGGAACCAAACAATGGCGTATCTTGCTACAGTGGTGGCAAGGTCGCCGTGATGTTTCTTTTTGCCATTTGCGGTGCAGATAGTTTGGGATCCATGGAGTGGATGCCCAGTGGGAGAAGCAAAAAATCCAGGCCCGGCGGCCAGTGCGGTCACGGGGCGTAAGCGGTTACAAGCTCAGCAGCTCGGGCAAAAGCACTCAGATTCAGAATTGGCGCAGCAACTTTTACAAGTGCTGGTACAATTTTCGAACAAGAAGGCCCAAAACACACTAAAGGAGAAGCCAGACACCTCCGCCAAAGAAGGGAAGGGCGAGACGGTCCCAGCCAAGCAACCTTCTCTTATCCATAGTCTGCATCAAATCCTGCAATGCGCGGTTGAAAATTAATCAAATTGTTAGCAGGTTGACTACCAAACTCAATAAAGTGGTTAATCCTGGTCCGGAAATTGACAAGTCAACCCCGGCTTGACAAGTTCGTTTCAAGATGAAGAAGAGTTTCCCCCCTTCAGGGCTGGAACTCAGAGTCCTCGACCCAAACGGCCCCAGAACAACGAGGGGTCAAGAAACATGGCCGCTGCCTAGAAACCAGCTGACTTGTCCGAAGCTATTCCTCAGAAAAGAGGTCGGCCACAAGTCAGTAATTTCAAAGAACTTAGTAGTCCTGGTAGTCAGGATAACTCAAGACAAACCAAGGCACGTTTTGCTGCCAAGGTACTGGATCAAGAATGGACTGGTGATCCCATCATCACTTCCATTCCACGAATCCTTTCCGCTCTGCATGAAGGCAAAGTGGTCCCAGGGAATTTGGTTATTTCCGGGGATGAAATTGTGGTCGACGAACTGAAACAAATTTGGAGTGCTTATGACCTCACCGATGACATGACGGTTGGTATCATCGCTCCCCCCAATTCGGTTTTTCCTTCTTTATCTGTTTGGTGGTCACTTGATCGAAGACGCTCTTTGCCGTTTAGATATAAGTTGAAACTTCATCAAATGGCGGACTTTGATGGACCGTGCCCCAAACCACCTCAAACGGTCCAGATGTTGCATACTCAAGGGCCCAGGCTTGTCACTCTTCGGGTTCTGGCCCCCTGGCATTTTCGCCAAGGGGTGGCAGGTGTTGACAAACAGGACACTCCTAGTTCTGTTATAGCTGAACTGGCTCAACAAATCAGTGAACCAGTGTCCCATCTTACTGGAGGTAGATGGGAAAAGCTGGCTCATCCCAAGGGAGAGTTGCTCGTTGCACATTTGAGAGTGCCAGAGCAAGTCGCCGCCAAATTCACCAATATCAGTGGAAAGCCAGCTTTGTTTTCCAGCGTGTTGACCAAGGAACGTGCTCCTGTGGACTGGGTTCCACGAGTTAGACACCAAACTGATGTTGAATATTTTCGAGCGGCCTCAGTTGAGGCTTCCAAAAAGGGAGTGCCGCTAGTGTTTCGTCAGGGCGGAAGTAGTGACCTTGGTTTGTCTGGAATTGGCCCTCGGACCAGCCAATGGAAACGTAAACGCGCTTGGGAACTGTTTGGTGCGCCCTCACTTTGGAATCAAGAAACGGTTGCTCAGTTCTTGCAAAGCGAAGGGTGGAAAGAGACCACCATTCGAACCAGAAAGAAAAGACAAGGTCAAGGAGTTTGGTTGTTTCAGGCCTTTTGTCCCCCCTTCCAAACCCCTGACGAAGCTTTTTGGCATCTTTTTGGCAATATTGCAATCCTGATGGCAGTTGTCACACCACTGTTGGATTAGAGGTTTCTCGTAAAAGACAACCCCTGCCTTCTGAATCTATTATTGCTCCTAGAAAACATTGGACTCACACGTCTAGCGGAACAGTTGCCACTCAACTCGACTCCGATTCTGACGAATTGGTGTCTGACCATGGTACCGCTACTGGAAGAGGGCAACATGCGAGTAAGAAAAGCAAAACCAAACACTCAGCTGTTGATGCAGAACATGTGCTTCAGCAACAATTTCCCTCGCGGTCAGCCAAAGACGATGGCGGCACAGGGGACTGTGCGTTTCGGGCCATAGCTCGAGTTTTAGCCTTTCAGCAAAACAAAGATCTTAGTGACGAAAAGATCGTTTCAGAAGCCTCACGGCTCCGCACTTTGACGGTTGGACATTTGACGAAAAACAAGGAAACTTTTTCCAGTTTTTGGGCGATTGACCCGGATTCCAGACCTGACCAGAGGGATCACTTGGATGAACCAGAAACCTTCTCGCACTACATTATGGCTGCTAGTAATTTTTGGGTCGATGAGCTTTTGCTTCCTGCCCTTCCCCATCGATTAGGTAGGGTTATCATCACTTTTGTTTGGCATCCTCTAGGTGGAGCTTGGCAACGTCATGTTTTGGCCCCAGCCTTTGAAAACCACATAGCATCACATAGCCAAGGGTAGCAAAGACACTTTGCCTATCTGTTTGCTGCTCAAAGGATAGCATTATCGCTCCTTACTCCCCAACACCAATGATGTTACGGGCCCCAAGGGTTTAAATCCACATCGGAAATCCCTCGCAAAGTGCTTCGGGGTCCGGGTAAGTCTACTCAGCAAGTCTTCCAATTCCAAGCTTAGTATTCCAGATTCCCCTCAGGTCTCGGTTGCTTCTATCAGGAATTGGCTTCGGCCGCGAGCAGCTCAGGCAGCTCCTAGTGTCTCGGCCCTTTCGGTTCCGCTAAGTCCTGAACGCAGAGAGTGCAACCCTCAAGCGGACGGCACGGACATTAGTCTTCCCCCCAGCACACCCACTGCTGTGGCACGGGCTAGAACTTCCAGCAAAGATGCCACTGTGACTAGATCCCCTGATCTTTCTTTGCCCAAACACATTTCCGAAAAGAATCTTTCCACGAATCATTTTGGGGAGGTCGGAGCTTACTCTAAATCTGTTTTCAACGATTCTGATGGCACTATAGATCACCCTCGGGTTGACTATACTTTATCATTAGTTCCACACACCCCGGTCCAAGCCGCCGGAAGCAGCGTTGAACAGCACACGCCGGCCTCTACTGGAAGAAGGACCGCCAAAACCTTAGTTGCCAGTTCTTTGTGATTTCCAAATTTGTAAGCTGCCCGGCACTAATTCGCATACGGATGCTCGACTTTTTCACTTGAAGAAAAAGCATGGTTTGTCTAGCTCCGACATTCCTAGCCTCTCCAAAAATAGATCCCACAATGTTTCTAAGGCTTTTTATATCTTTTTATGCTAGGAAATGGGAGCATTTGCTGGAACTTAGTTCTAAGCAAGGTTGTCCTGGCACGCACGAAGTGGAGAAAAACAAAAAGCAAGGTTGGCGTTCAAACAATGTCTGCAAAAGCGCATCCTCAGTTCCGAAGTGCCGCATCAAATCTGCCCTTCTTTCAATGGTAATGAAAAAGCCATTCCCGATTTGCGTCGCCGCCAACACCTTTGGGACACGTGGTATAGCGCTGCTCAACAGGCCGCCCAGGTGAGTTCGACCGAGGTCAAAGCCAAACGTAAACAAACCAGGCTCGACGCCCGAGTCGCCAAACAAGCTAAATGGGATTTCACAGTTAGCCAAACTTCCAAGGAGAAAATTGGTTATGTGCCCAGACTGCCCATTACTACCACTGGTCGTACTGACGACACTTGGTGGCGATGTTCCTTTTGTGATTACAGAGTCAAGTACGGGGACAAACGTAGATCTGACTTGAAACGTAAGCACCTCAAGGATATCCACTGTCATGACAATATCCCTCTCCATGACGGTAAAAATGACCCCTTGTCCAACCCTAGTAGATTAATCAAGGCCAGTGACGCTTATGACGCTAGGTGGAACCGTTTGCAAAGGCTCATGTCAGAACCTCACAAAGTCGCTAAGGAACCGTCTTACTTTCGCGAGTACACTAACAAACGAGGTATCCCTTGGAAAGTAGCCCTTTACCCTTGCTTGCTGTGCGGCATGAAGGTTCAAATTCGGGATTTTCCGAACACCGTTTGCAAAGGGGGGGGCCCCCCACCTAAAGTGGCCGTCCGCAAACAATTGTGGCGAGAATTGCGGCAAAAAGCTGTCAAACGAACTAAGCCACCTCCAAAGAGCAAGCGTCCTCCTCGCAACCGCCCTGCTACTGGACAGCGCATAGGTGAAGCCGCCAACCTTGGCCCTGTGTGTAAAGCCCACCCCCTGACCATTTGGAGCATCAACATTAGCAGTTGGTGCATTCATGGTGCAGCCAGCCAAGGAAGCTTCCGTTGATGTCCTTCTTTTACAAGAGACTAACATTTCCCAAATGCAAGAAGCCCGCTTCACACACCAGCTTCACAGGCGGGGATGGCAAACCATCCATCAGCACCCGCCCGAAAAAGGTCGCCAAGGAGGTGTACGTGGCCTTACTTGTCAGAGAACCATGTGCCCTTGTTCCTTTGCACGGTGAAGCATTTGGGGAAGGTCAAGTTTTGGCTGCGCAGATTCTGGCTTTAGCTACTCCTATCATTCTCGTTTCCATGTATAGGCATGCTAGCGACCGAGATTTCCAACTTTTGCAACAACTGAGCGATTTTTTGGAAGCTCACAATGGCTCTCATTGGGTGGTTGGTTTGGATGCCAAAGCTAGTATGAACCAGGGACCGGTGGTTGACATGTTTCATTACCATTCCGCTCATTGCGGTGCTCAAGCTAGGCATACTACTGAACCCATTGACGGCATATGGCTCTCTACTGCTCTTGGCCTTGTTGCTGGTGGAGAACTACCTAGTCCTAGTGATCATACTATAGCCACTGTCACTCTTAACTTGAAGGTGCAGGCTGTTCCAGGTCACAGGTGGAGATTGACGCAGGTGCGGAAACTTGACCACACGGCTCCCAAACCTGAAGGCGCGGGCAGGTGGACTCAAGTTGCCACCTCAGACGACGAATGGCGTCAAGCTAAGCAGAATGTTGACCAAGCATGGGATGTTTGGTCCAGAGACGCGGAAAAGTGGTTAATTCAGCAGAAGCAACTCACCAGTCGGCAGCCGGAACGTTTGTTGGGAACCATCCCTAAAGCTGTTACGTTGGCTCCACAAGAATCCACTGAGATCCGTCAACTTCGCAGACATCTGCGGAGGTTAGATGAAGTTCTTTTTCTGACCCGTCGCGGACGAGAGGTTCCTGTGACGTTGTCACAGGCGGTGCGCAGGCATCCTCAGTTGACTGCTTCGGAAAAAAGAGCTTTGGCTACTGGTGCCTTTGGTACGGCTAAGCAATTGGCGCAAGATAGATTAGCAATTTCTACTAGTGCACACCAGAGAAGCTATTGCTCGTTGGAAAGCAAGGGTTCACACCATTCCTGGAGCCGCTTTTTTGCTCCGCCAAGAATCTGCGACCCCTTATGTGATCCAGCATGCTGATGGTCATGTTATCACGGCTAGGCATGAAGCTGTTGATGCTCTTGGTCTCAGATTTTTGGAACCTCCGATGATGCCATTGATCCAGATCAATTCATGGAATTTTACCAAGAGGACATGCCGGCCCCGGTTCCGTTCGAACCTCTGCCCCCTATCCTCATTTAAAATTTCTGACCTGAATCTTGGGTAAGCTGCGCCAAAAAGCCTGTGGACCGGATGGGTGGACTGCCGAACTGCTGCTGCGTCTCCCCGACCCCGCCCTGGACCGCCTCTCTCAACTTCTCACCCTTTTTGAAAATCAAAAACGGTGGCCTGACAGTCTTACCCATTGGGCCGTCATGGTCAGTGTCCTCGTCTTGGTGACGTCCGTCCCATTTCCATCGGCCTGTCGTTTAACAACTGCTCCTGTCGGCTTCGTGTCCGGTTATGTCCATTGCTTGCGGCAGTTCTGGCGGCTTTCGCGGGCTCGTGTTTGGCTCCAGTCTCAGCGTAACGATGCCCATGTGGCTCGCGGTTCTCACCTTGTCTTGACCCCGTCCCTGTTGGATCGCCTCCGCTCGGTCTGTCAGTCGGTCGATGGTCCTGCTCGCTAAGCCATGATCGGTATAGTCTTGCTGCCTCTGCTCATGCGTCTGAACCCCCCAACTTTTGTGATTGTTGTTTGCAAAATTTAGTTCAAACCACTGACCACATTTGGTGGGATTGTCCCACGTTTTCTTATCTTCGCTCGCTCTCCCGTCCTCACAACCACTGTCTTGCCAGACTTGGGTGGGCAAACGCGCCACCAGAGCCAGCCCAGTGCCATAAGTGCCACGCCTGCCACGCAGAATGCACGTCCATGTCGCCAAGCCCCATGCCTGCCACGCAAAGTGATGGTCTATGACGCCAAGTGCCACGCCTGCCACGCAAAGAGCCGCGGCGTCCACGGCGTCAACTGAGAACCAAGCGCGCCACCAGAGCCAGCCCAGTGCGGCGGGAGGAGGAGACGGGAGTGCACAACCAAAAACAAGAACCCCACACAAAGATGTGGGGAAAAATGATCCTTCCAAAGCTTGAAGGGAGACATGGTCATTGAGTCATTGAGATTTATTGAGTCCATTTGAGTCCAATTTCAATCAAATCCATGATGAAAGATTAAAACGACGAGCAGATGTTGAAAATTTGACACCTTTATGGACGCAAGGCCGCACAACTTGCTACTTTAGAAGCCACAATGGCCGCTGCCACTGCAGATGTGGAGAGTATCCAGGAGCCACACTTGCAACTTTGCACATAATCTTACCGTTCAAATTCATTCCATGGCTCCGTGCAAACATTGCTTTTCGCACGCTCTTTTTTCTTACTCCGTTTTGGGCAAGGGGATGCAAGGGGGGCAGCGAGTGCATGAGGTTTGCTTAAAGCGCTGCCAGAGCCCATCATGTTCCAAGTAGACCAGATTTAGCATCAACCATCCAATTAGAACGAGAACAGTTTTTGCGGTTCTTACAAGGAGTTTGTTGCATCATTCTCAAATTGGTTCGATTGATTTGTATATTTTTCTTTGGGAGGATTGAAACAGCCTCCAGTTTTGCATGTGTAAATCAAAAGTTTCAGATTTCAATAGCGTGCTACCTCAACCGCCAAGCAAAGGGCAGCACAGCGAGCACTTGTATTCCTGCTGAGCGGGAAAACATCAAGACATGTGGAGAGCAAATAACATGTTGGCGTTTCCAATCCATGCAGGAGACGATCCGTGAATTGGAGTGCCAAGCTTGGAGCGCTAGTGCCGCTAGTGTGCTTTGAGAATTTGATAGTATTTGGAATGTTTGGCTCCTATTGCTTGTAGAGACTCCGGAACAATGTTCTGTCTGCATGCCACTCAAAAGTGTGAGAGCGCGCAGTGTTGGCAGTTGGCAGTATGGACATAAGACATGATGCAACAAATGCAACATAATATTAACATAAATGTAGATACAACGGATGGGCCACGGGAACCTTATTTTTGCTCCGCATCCTGCAGGGTAACTCTGGAAATGGAAAAGAAGACTGGAAAGGCATCGTGCTTCGATGCTTCGATGTGCTTCGGGCATTCCGCGGTATTCCGAGTATCACAAGCCATTTACATGCAGCTTGAAGTCGCAGAGCACTGCCCAGCTGTGCTGAACAAAAGGGTAATAAGAAATAAAGGGTGTCTTAACGATGCTCTTGATGCAGACTCAATGCGTTGGGAGTGTGAGGAGTCTCTACCATGAATCTTGCACAAACAGCTTCGGGGGTTGTGTGAATCCTGTGCGCAAAAAAATCAAGTAAGCAGAGGACTTAAGAAACGCGCAGCTCACCATGACTTGAGTATTTAGTCTGGAGTCAAGTCATGCATTTGGTCTTCCTGAGCCTTTTTGCTTGTACCGTTTGTATGCTGCAGATGCATAGGATTCTTGGGGCATTATTTGCCGCTTGGATCTTGCTAAGCTAGATGTTTTTCTTGCAAAACAAATGTGGACGCTCTATATTACACATAGCTCAATATGGCGCACAGGTCTAGGATGGTCTATGTACGGGTTGTTGGCATCCGTTTGGTTTGTTTAAAACTGGGACAGGAACTGCAAGATTCCGTGAACGCAGAGGAGGACCCTGTAGCAGCAGGCTGAATTTGTGATGAATGATTAAAGTTCAAGAAGGGTGTTATCCTATATTTGGCCCCGATTCTCTCCCAGAATTTGTTGCGGTAAAGTTCTTGATCATTGCCATAGTTTGAAACATGCGCCCGCAGGACTTAAATTGCGCCATGAATATCATGAACGATGTTGCATGCGATGCATTTGTGACGGATGTACTGCCGTAATTCTTTGCAAGACAAGGTTTGCTTGCACCTGGAAGAAAGAGGAAAAAACAAAAAGACGAAGTTACAAAAGAAACCAAAGACACAGCACTAAAGAGCAAGCCCCTCTTTTGGTCATAGTACCGCTTCTCGCATTTTGTGTTTTTCCCAGACGCTAAAATTTCCAACCGGACGACCAGCGCTGATGAGAGCGCCATGCCTGGGTGGTGCAATGAGACGATTGAGGCTACTGCTTTTCAAGACATTGGCTATCACATGGAGAACTTGGCCTTTGGAATAGGTCTGGGTGCGTGGCTCGTGTATGGAATCGCTGTCGGTGGCCATCTCTTCATCACGCTTCGTTTTCGGGTGAAGATCAGCATCAGCCTCTTGAAGCGCTGCTCCTTGCATGACATCAAAGACACCGTAAAAAATGCGTGGACCAACATCGGTTTAACCACGTCCTTAGTCATGACTACTGTCATTGGCGCTTTGATCGAAGGTCACGGAATTACACCGCAAGGATTTTGCACCGACCACCTGACATTGTTACATATCAAGCAAGTTTATGTGGCGCTTTGCATGGCATGTTTGTTTGCAAACGTCAATTGCATTATCTACTGCGTTTTGAGCCTGTTTTATTGGGACTCGCTTTCACAAGCTGATGCGGTTGCTTTCCTGCGAGAGAATCCACAAGTCCTGGGTGAAACAGTGATTTACATGGTGGAATCATACGTTTTGTTCATTGCTGCCATTGCGACTTGGATTTACGGAACATATGGTCAAACCTTCATCACTGGAATCTTCCCGTGCTTTGCGGTCTCGGCCATTACCAACTTGTCGCTTGTTTGGAAAAATCTCCATTTCTTCTACCCCAAAGATCGCCAAGTGGCGGATCAGATTGGGCAAAGCGGTTGCTGCAGTTGCTGCAGACGCAACTCTTGTGCAGATGCTGAACGGTGGACCCGCGTGTTGGACGCAATCTCTGAGCACGAGCCAACCCAGTCAACTGATCCTGCCGACATGCCCACAAGTGACTCTCGTGGAGAGCAATCTCGGAGAAATGATGAAGCATTGCCAGCATTAGCCACAAATGACCAAGGAATTGCGTCAAAAAAACTCATTGAAGCGCAGGAACCTACACAAAGCGATGGCTGGGACACCAATCATGAAACCCAAAATCAAAGTTTTACTTCCAAAGAATGGCATGTCTAAAAAGTTTGCCGACGTCAAATGACACGCCTCACCGCGCAAAGTGCAGGTTGTTGGTTGTTATTGCGGCGGCGGTGGCTAAGCCACATGGTTAATACCATGCAACATCGCAAAAGAATGCAAAAGAGAAGTGTGTCTTTTACATCCGTGCAAATGCTGCTTTGCATTCCGGACAGAACATACCACCCTGAAATCTTCATCCGGCAATCTGCTAGTGACATCTAGTGACATCTAGTGACTGCGCGTGTAGGAGAAACGACAAGAAACCCAGCTGGAGTGCGATCGCCTCATGCATTTCCTGGAGGCAAGTTCCATGCCGATTCCATGCGTTGAAGTGAATTTGCCTTGGGGAGGTGTTTAAGCAGACGGTTCCCTCAGTGATTTTTGTGGGATGTTGCGCAATGATTTGTGCTGTTGTTCTGTGTTCCATGTTTTATCATGTTCATCGTCAGTTGCACTGTGGACTGTGCATCCAAATTTGCCGATTTCTGTCGATATCGTCATCGGCAGTCCTTGAGCTCGCGGGGCAACAAAGAGGAGCTGTCCAAGGCAAGGGATGCGAAGATGTGAAGATCGGAGCAGATTAGAACTACTGGGAGGCATCACAGGCATCGCACATGGCCCAGATTGAGCCCACCAACACATCAACCACATCATACCACATCAGATATCATACCACATCAGATATCACCAGATGTTGCATGATTCACGCAAGGTTTTGATTCATGCCAACATCGGCTGGTCGAAGTCATCCACCTGTTCATGACTCATGTGCCAACTCCATTCATTCAAGTTCATGCGTGGTTCATTCATTGTAACAAGTGTTTGTGGTGTTTTTTTGGTGTTTTGTAGGGGATGGGAGAGGAAAGAAAAAACTCCAAAAAGCAGCTTCACTGGGTAACATGGTGTGCACACTCATTCAATTATCCGTAATTATCATATTTATCCCAGTTCTGTATCAAGAGAAACACAAAGATGTTCCCACATAGAGCAGACATGAATTTGGTGTCCACTCCGTAGAGGCCCTGGCCGCTATGCAGCGGGAACATTCGCAGCTCCAGCAGGCCATGCTATCCGAATTATCCATAATGATTTCCAGCAGAAGTATAGTCTTTTTATATAATATACGATAATATACGTACTTTTTGTACCATATAATATATATATAATTCATGATATATATATATATTCATATATGTTCCAGGTTCTGGGTCCTGCCCCTCCCCCCCAATCATGGTCATGGTATTCCCCCAACCCCCTGTGGGTGTGGGTTGGGGTGGGAAGAGGGTTGCGTATGTGGTATGTTGAATTTTTATGAATTTTAATATTTAGTGCATCCAAACAAGTGGTACATAGGTGCTATTTGGTAGTATGCATATAGTTTACAAGTAGTGTCTATCTATTTGCAACCGTGTTGTATAATATAGGCAGTGTATGATTGGTCAATAGTAGAGTATATAGTCGTATTATGTTGTATTATGGTGTATTATGTCATATTATAGGTAACAAGTATATAGAAGATGTAGGGGCACATACATATATACAGTACATAATTTAAAATATATTATATGATTTTATATGTATATACACACATACATGTGCATCTTTGTCCTTGGCATGAAGTATCTATATAGGTAGTGTATGTGGTTGCCCCCTTACCCCTGTGGTGTGGGGGGTGGGGGGGATGAGGGAGTTGATGCAGCTTATCAGTCGTAGATTGTACTATATAGGCCAAAAATAAGCGCGCCATGAGTGGTATGTAGGTTGCATACAGGCATGCAATGGGTAATATATAAACATATATAAACATGATAAAGTAGGATTACATATGAGTAGTGTATAGATACGCTGTTGGTCGTATATAAGTGGAAAAACATACATCGATAGATGATGATAGATGTATATAGGTAATATGTAGACAGCATGCAGGTAGTATAAAGTAGTAGCGAGGTATTTTGCAGGAAATACATGGCTCTAAAATGCTGCAAAAAGGTTGCAAGTGGCAGCTTGTGGCTCTGAAATGCTGCAAATAGCATGCAAATGGGAGGCCGTGACTCTGAAATGCTGCAATAGCATGCACATGGGATATTTTTTGGGGGGATTGGGAATTGGGGTACCATACCATTGGGGGAGAGAAAGGGGGAGGCTACCAGGAACCGGGAATGTTCATTGTCTCACATTCATAAATCATATTCATAAATCACTGCCAATCTTCAAATAATTACATAGTGTTTTGCTCATGCTGATCTCCCATGCCACTTGACTTTATACCTATCTATACGACCCGGCTGTTTTTCCCTGAGCCCTGACAACACACAAAAAAACACATTAAATACGTGAGCAAAATGATGCAGATTGCAGATTAGTGTAGGACGTTTGGGCATTGGTGATCGTGTCATGCATGCCTTCATGAAAAGTATACATTTTTACTTGACTAGCCTAGAAGGATTGGTAGGTAGATGCGCAAGTTTCATAGTGCATCACTTTTCTGAAAATCATCGTTGTTTGGCTGCTTGACTTGTTGTGACTGACAACTATTTGCTCAGAATGCGCGTTGTTGTGTACATAATAAGGCTTGAGACCACCTGTAGATTGAACTGATAGAGACCCTTTGCAAGTATAGAGAAGGCAAGAGGACAGGAGAAACACTGAGAAACTTGAGTCTGAGTTTGTTTTCACCTGAAACATGTTGAAATGATTTAGTATGAGTATGTACGAGTCATATCAGGGGTTGCTGCGAGTCAGACTGTTAGCGAGGAGGTTGTGACATCGTCATGCATTTCAGAAGCACAGACAGCAGACCATCTCTTTCGATACAACGCGATTGCGCATTGGACACGTCTTGGACACGGATGTCATCCAAATTCATCCAAGCAGTCCTCAGCTTGGCTACACTCTAGCAGTTCCTATGCCAGGAGTTGATTACCAAGAAAACGAATGTGCTAATCAAGCAGCAGCCTGTGGCTCAGCATGGCTCAGCCTTGTCCTTCAATTACATCATTTTTCACCAAATTACAGTATCTTCCAGTCGTGTCACCAAATGACACCAAGACTCGAGATTTTCAGCAATTTGAAATGACAGCTAAGGGAGATCCGAGGGCGTTTGGATGAGACTCGCAGGAGGGCCATAGCCATAGCCATGGCCACTGGAATCCACTGGACCTTGGAATTTCGCGATATGTTCATATGTTCATAATATGTTCAACAAAATATATGAAATCACGAAATCGTTTAACAAAAAGAGAAGCATAGCAATCAGGTTCGAAATCCAAAAGTGCATTACGCGGGCAAACTCTGCTGCAATTCGCTTCTATGACGTCTTGGACTTCCAAAGGAGGCAAATTATCGCAATGAGTGAGCTCTGTCCATATGTGATCAGCTTGCAAATATCGACGGAGTTGCAAACGTGTGCTGAAACCAATGCAATGCTGGCCTAGGCCCCCGGCAAATGTGACAGAAATACATATATATATATTTAATGTATATAATATTGTTGACATATGTAACATATTTATAACTTATAACTTTTATATATACAGTAACGATGAGCCGATGAGCCCGGAGGAATTCCAACATTTCCCAACTTTTGGACAAGTTGCTGTGCATAATGTGTTGCTCCTAGACTGGCACAGCTGGACGCAGGATTCACGAGGAGCGGAAGGTCAGCGCAGCCGACGTGGTGAGCAACCCAGAGTAACTGATGAAGCACATTGGGACTGTTAGCCTCTTAACCACTCTTAACCTTGCATGGCATTGTAGAAATGCTGATATTACAATATATTACTTGGCCCATTGATATCGTGGCCTGACCTTTAAGCATGAATTTTGTGTGTTGATTTGTCCACATCAGATGCAGAATTTCCTTCTAGTGCATTTGGATCAGTTCAAATCAAACTTCAAACAGTTTTTGTTGTGCTTCAGCTAGGAATGATGTGGCCAACGATGCCGTGGTGTTTTTTCAACTGTCACAATCTGTCACACCGTCCAGGCTGCTATTGCCCTCAATGCCAGCGGGCCCATTGCTGCTTTGACTGTGACTTTGGAGGAGGCTTGGGGCCAGTGGTGATGACCTGTCAACCCATCAAATCCTGTCAGCATCTTTCAGCGAACAATGATTGACAATGATGGACAATGTAAAATAATGTAAAATAATGCAAAGCTTATCGACATATAGAAGTCTTATAGAAGTGTTAAACACTATCAGTCCCGCTTTGTTTCACAGTGATGCTTTCTAGGCAGATCCGCAAGCCAAAGGCATTGGCGATGTTGTATACATACATGTTGTATACAAGCTGATAGTCCATCATAAATCATCACAGTCAGCGCGTTTATAGTTTGGTTGAAACCGTTTCAACCCAACATTTCAGACGGCTTTCTTTCTTCCGGAGAAACATCAGTATCCAGAATCCAGAACTGATGGAAGGAGAGAAGAAAAGCGGAAGCTGCAAGAGAGACAAGGACTGTCAGCTGCAGACACTATTGGACTGTGAGAGTATGTGAGAGTGCAAGAATCATCAAAAGCACAGGATGAAGAATGATCGAAACAGTTAAGAGAGACAGCAAGTAGTGTGATTTTCAAAGTGTGAATTTATTAAGTTGATTTGCGAAACAAAAAATGGCTTTGTTTGTGAGCAGTACGTAATAACGCCCCTCCGAGATTTGTTTCCGTCAATTTTCTCGACTGTCCCGTGGCATCTGCATGTCATGTGCGACTGGAGATTCACCAAGGTTTGAAGTCGACAGCTTTGTTTGACGTCGTAGCTGCCGTAGCTCTCATGATTCACATGACCATCACGAGTTGGAACATGTTTCGATCATAAATTGTGGGTAGCTTTTGATCTAACATCATTAACATCATTTCTCACATCATTTCTATTCATTTCTCACATCATGTTTAATATGTTTACCATTTCATATCATAATTGCGTATACTTTCCACCTTTCCATAATGTTTCTCCCTTCGAAGGCTGCAGTTGGAGGCCGAAGTCGAAGCCTTGGAAAAACAACTGGCAGAGTCTCCAAAAGTAAATCTCCAAAGTGCCCAACGCCCGAGACCGAGACTTTGGCGTGGCAAGCCGTTACAGTCTAAGCGAGATTAAATGAGATTAAGAGTCATGCAGGAAGCATCAGGAAGCATAAGATTATAAAATCTTATAACCATTTTATAACCTATATTATACGTTATGAGTCATGATGAGTCCAAATTATTATACAATGATTATACAATGTATATTATTGTATGTATGGATGTGGCATGATATGAATTCATTTGTATAATATCATGCCAAAATGAGTAGTGGCATGATGTGGCATGCTCGTTGGTCTAAATTGCTCATACATGGCAACATGCCCCATCCCCACGATGTGTGGAGCATGAGTTTACCGAAGAGTTTACCAACGTTTGCGACTTTCCACATCTTTCCACGTTTTCTTCGATCTCCTGTCATCTCCTGTCCAGGTCCCACGGAGCCGACGAAGTGCGAGAACGATCAATCTGGACAGGAGGCTTGACAGGGCCTGACATGCCCTGACATGGGAGAAATGCATAAAAAAAATCATAAAAATGTGAAAACAAGATGATACACATGAATAAATGTGAATACATATTATGAATACAAGATGTTGAAGGTCGAGAAATTCGAGAACTCAGTAGAGAACATTAGAGAATTATATTTTGTATTATTTTGTGCTATTTTGTTACCAGCCGTTTCCTGGATTGGCCACCCTGATAGATTCAGATACTGTAGATGAAACCAAGGGCACAGTACTCGTATTTGATCGTATTTGGGTCGATCCAAGCATCGCGCGATAAAAGTAAAGACTGCTCGCCGGAAACTGCGCGGCATGATTTCCTAAAGGAGAAGCACAAACACGGATAGATAATATTATATAATATAATAAGTGATGAAAACTGATGAAAACTGATGAAAAGTGATGAAACATGTTCTTTTATTCGTTCTTGCCGGAAGCTTGTTGGTTCGATGGGGCATGGCGGCGCTATGGCAGAATGGAAGCTTCACAGCATGCCCAAGAAGCCGACACGGCGTCGCATCGTGTGCCCCACAAGAAGTGAGGACGTGAGCCTTCCCAAGCTGGAGCCAAGAAGTGAAAGAAGTGAACCAAGCCCCCTGTGCACAGAGCCAAGCCCTGTCAGGGACACTGTCAGGGGTAGAGCGGTAGAAAAGGCACGGTCATCGCCCACTGCGGCAGCGCCTTTGACGGTCACAGTCAGGCACGTTCGACAAAAATCCAGAGATTTTCTGACTGTTTTATGGATGTATGTGGATGTGCTTTATTGTGTTTTTGCCTTCAGGGGATGACATGTTTGCCTTGTCACTTTGCTTGCGGATTTACTTGCTATGTGGAAAGACTTGACCCTGCTTCAGAGATTCTCCTGGAAACTTTGCCATTGTTTGCAGTGTTTGCCATTGTTTGCCAGCTCGATCAGGGCCATGTACTTTAGCAACGACGGCACTCAAGCTGACACAGGATCTCAGGCATTGGAGTCGTACAATTCGTAACAAATCGTAACAACATATATCAACCATTAGCAACCTGCAATTAGATTCTCCATGATTCTCCTAATTTTCTCCTATATCATCCTAAACAAACACGCGCAAAACTTACTAAACTCCGTGTTCCTTTTGTATACTGTATATGAGTGAAGTATAGTGAATTCTTGAATCATGAAACATGTGCTAACCCGGCTAACCCGGGGCCGCATTCATAAGTTTCAAAGCAAAAGTGTCGTGCTAGGGTTGCTAGGTTCTCTTAATTGAGTTTCGAACATGTTCGAATGATAATTGATCTTGGAGTTTTGTCTTCGAGGCGCAAAGTTAAAAGGGTGTAATTACAAGGTTGCTTGGAAAATCTTGGAGATTGCTTGAGAAATTCCCACAGGCGAAGTTAACATACGCTTCAGGTGACTCTACAAGTCTGGACATCGAGCACAGTCGAGGAACTCTTGGGGTCTGTGCGGGATGCTGTTGGTTGTAGCAAAGGTCGTTTGCTTTTCCGGATGCGGCCGCTACCAGACCCATCAGTGGCATGACTGAAGAGATCTGAAGAGTTTTTGGGGCAATGAGAGCGTTTTCTGTGGCAATATGTGGCAATGTGACTTCTGGGTATATGATCTAATTAGTATGAGTTTGCAATAATTTGCTTATAAGTTTTGCTGGTGCTTCATTTTCCTTCGTTTTGCTTATGATTTTGTTCGCTTCAGTTTTGCTTCGGATTTCGTTCAGTCATGCAATGTCGTACAGTATTTCGTTCCGTATTTCGTATCTTATTTCGTATCGTATTTTGTAACAATATTTTGTTACAAATTTCGTTTTGTTTCATTAATGAACATGTTGTTACTGTCGTTGTTTCGTGTCGAGGCGACGTTGGAGATGTGCGGCGTCCACCGCGACCCGTCTGCGCTGCATCTGTTGATCTCGCGCCGCTTTCGGCCCCAGGAGGTCATCGAAAAGGCGCAGGCAGAGGCCGCCGAACTGCAGGCGAACAGCGATGAACCATGAAAAAACAAACAAAAAAAAAAACGACATGATCCGACCCGCCATAGCGATCCATACCCCAAAAATATTGTTGAAACTTGTTAATTGATATCAATTGTTTGTGGTAATGATATTTAATGTTTATATGTTTTTTACTTTTTTCCCAAAAGCATCTTCGATGCTTGGGTTCTCGTTTAGTTGTTTAACCGCGTGGGGGAGCGAGCTGGTTTGAACGGTGGTGTGCGGACGGCGTGGGTGCAAGGGAAAGGAAGGGAAGGGAAAGGAAGGGAAAGGAAGGGAAAGGGAGGGAAAGGAAGGGAAAGGGAGGGAAAGGAAGGGAAAGGCAGGGAAAGGAAGGGAAAGGAAGGGAAAGGATGGGAAAGGAAGGAAAAAGGAAGGGAAAGGAAGGAAAAAGGAAGGGAAAGGAAGGGAAAGGAAGGGAAAGGAATGAGTGGGAAAAGAAGCCGCTGGAGATCAGCGAGCTCGGCTGCGCGGACGGCTGCGGACGGAAAATGGGTGGGGACGGCTGCGGACGGCATGGGTGCAAGGGAGTGGCTGGAAATGGGTGGCGAGAAGAAGCCGCCGGAGATGAGCGAGCTTGGCTGCGCGGACGGCTGCAGACGGCAAATGGGTGCGGAGAATTGCGCGGACGGCTGCGGACGGCGTGGGTGCAAGGGAGTGGCTGGAAATGGGTGGGGAGAAGAAGCTGCTGGGGATGAGCGAGCTTGGCTGCGCGGACGGCTGCGGACGGGAAATGGGTGCGGAGAATTGCGCGGACGGCTGGAAATGGGTGGGGAGAAGACGCTGGTGATGAGCAAGCTTGGCTGCGCGGACGGCTGCGGTGGGTGGGGAGAATTGCGCAGACGGCTGCGGACGGCGTGGGTGCAACGGAGTGGCTCGAAATGGGTGGGGCGAAGAAGCCGCTGATGATGAGCGAGGTTGGCTGCGCGGACGGCTGCGGACGGCAAATGGGTTCGGAGAATTGCGCGGACGGCTGTGGACGGCGCGGGTGCAAGGGAGTGGCGGGAAATGGGTGGTGAAGAAGCCGCTGGTGATGAGCGAGCTTGGCTGCGCGGACGGCTGCGGACGGGAAATGGGTGCGGAGAATTGCGCGGACGGCTGCAGACGGCGTGGGTGCCAGGGAGTGGCTGGAAATGGGTGGGAAGAAGAAGCGGCTGCTGATGTGCGAGCTTGGCTGCGCGGACGGCTGCGGACGGCGTGGGTGCAAGGGAGTGGCTGAAAATGGGTGGGGAGAAGAAGCCGCTGGTGATGAGCGAGCTTCGCTGAGCGGACGGCTGCGGACGGGAAATGGGTGCGGTGAAGTGCGCGGACGGCTGCGGACGGCACGGAGTCGCTGGAAATATCTGGAAATGGGTGGGGAGTATAGACGCCGCTGGAGATCAGCGAGCTTGGCTGCGCGGACGGCTGCGGACGGGAAATGGCTGCGGAGAATTGCGCGGACGGGTGCGGACGGCGTGGGTGCCAGGGAGTGGCTGGAAATGGGTGGGGAGAAGAAGCTGCTGGGGATGAGCGAGCTTGGCTGCGCGGACGGCTGCGAACGGGAAATGGGTTCGGAGAATTGTGCGGACGGCTGCGGACAGCGTGGGTGCAAGGGAGTGGCTGGAAATGGTTGGGGAGAAGAAGCCGCTGGGGATGAGCGTCGCCGTGTCTATGGGGGAAGCTGCAAAATCTCTCCTTTTCGAAGGTTTCCAAGCAGGTTGTCATGTCGTTTTGCGTGGCAGGGGTGGCACTTTGTGACATTCCAACCTGCTTTATACCGTGTCATAAGTTCTTTTGTAAGGCTGGCGCAACAATGCACTCCACACTTTACACTACACTTTACACTCCACGCTCTACACTCTACACTCCACACCACACTCTACACTCCACACTCCAAACTCTACACTCCACACTCCACCACACTCTACACTTTACGCACTCCTCACTCCACACTTTACACTTTACACTCCACACTCCTCACTTTACACTCCACACTTTCCACTCCCCCTTCACACTCTACACTTTACACTCTACACTCCACAATTTACACTTTAGACTCCTCACTCCACACTCCACACTTTACACTCCTCCACACTCCACACTCTACACCCCACACTCCACCACACTCCACCACGCTCCACACTCTACACCCCACACTCCACCACACTCCACCACGCTCCACCACACTCTACACTTTACACACTCCACACTCCTCACTCCACACTTTACACTCCACACTCCTCACTTTACACTCCACACTCCACAAACTACACTTTCCACTCCACACTCCACAATTTACAGTTTAGACTCCACACTCCGCAATTTATACTTTAGACTCCTCACTCCACACTCTACACTTTAAACTTTGCACTTTACACTCCTCACTCCACACTTTACACTCCACACTCCACAGTCTACACTTTACACTCTACACTTTACACTACACTCCACACTTTACAATTTAGAATCCTCACTCCACACTTTACACTCCACACTCCACACTTTACACTCCACACTCTACGCTTTACACTCTACACTCCACACTTTACACTCCGCGCTTTCCACTCCAAGCTTTACACTCCACACTTTACACTCCACACTTTACACTCCACACTTTTACGCTCCACACTCCGCAGTCGACACTTTACACTCCACACTCTACACTCCACACTCCGCACTTTACCCACTGCACACTCCACACTCCACACTTTAGACTCCACACTCCTCGCTCCACAATTTACACTTTACGCTCCACACTCCACAATTTCCACTTTAGACTCCTCACTCCACACTCTACACTTTACACTCCACACTTTACACTTTCCACTCCTCACTCCACACTTCACACTTTACACTCCTCACTCCACACTCCACATTCCACACTTTACATTTTACACCCCACAGTTCACACTTTACACCTGTACACTCCACACTCCACACTCTACAGTTTCCACTCCACACTCTACACTGTACATTTTTCACTTCCCACTCCACACTTTACATTTTACACTCCTCACTCCACACTTTACACTCCACACTCCGCACTCTACACTTTACACTCTACACTCTGCACTTTCCACTACACACTGCAGACTGGTAACAGGGGAAATATGTATATACAAGACTGTTCAAATAAACTATTGCAGAAAAGTGTTCTGCGTGACTGCATATCCATGTGTTTCGACATCACCATCATTAACATACGTGTGAGCATTCGGGTTCGCGGGCTGCATCTTGTTCTTTCCCTTTCTTTCCCTCCCTTTCCCGTCCTTTCCCTTCCTTTCCCTTCCTTTCCCTTGCGCCCACACCGTCCGCACACCACCGTTCAAAGCAGCTCGCTCCCCACGCGGTTAACCAACTAAACGAGAACCCAAGCATCGAAGATGCTTTTGGGAAAGCAACACAATTTAATAATTAGATACAAAAAATGCAGTTGCCAAGCGAGAACCCAAAAAAGCAAATCATCCTACCCCATGTCTCCACCCATTCCCTGGCCCCACCCCCTTGCATCTATTTTATCGGTTAACCTATATGCGCACATAGCCAGCCGACAAGCAACCATTTTCCATGCTCGTTCTCCCCACCCATTTCCAGCCGCTCCCTTGCAACCACGCCGTCCGCAGCCTTCTGCGCAGCCAAGCTCGCTCATCCCCAGCGGCTTCTTCTCCCCACCCATTTCCGGCCACTCCCTTGCACCCATGCCGTCCGCAGCCGTCCGCACAATTCTCCGACCCCATTTCCCCTCCGCAGCCGTCAGCTCGTCGAGACGAGAGACGTGGGAGCATCAAAACGAGCCTTTCGTGCAAGACTTCCTCCAATTTTTACACTTTGTAGCTTCAAAATCGACGTATTCCTACAAGTTTTCATAGGGGCCTCTAAATTTGATTAAATTTGCTAGCTCAAAATTTCGTGCGAGGCTTCCGTCAATTTTCAGCACATCTCACAAAATGCCACGCCTGCCACGGAATCTGCACCTTGTCGCCACTTGACGCAGCCCTGCCAATGCGATTCGCAAAAAACCAGCAACACGACGCGTCTAAAGTGCTGCGCCTGCCACGCAAAATGACGATGGACACATCCAAAGTGCTGCGCGTGCCACGAAAACTGCAACGCATCTTCTGAAAACGTTGCAAAAGTATTGTGCCTGCCACACAAAATGACTTTCGACACGTTACAAAACACGTCTGAATGTCACGAAGTGCCATGCCTGCCACGCGAAACGAAGCAACGCGACGTTGGAAACATCCAAAAAGGGGACTTACCATAGGTACGGCCATATAGCAATCGCGTGGACGGTTGCGAATGGTTGCGGGCGGTTGGGCAACGTCGAGCGAACACATCCTCAACCCCCAGACCCCCAGAGTGAAACGGGAACCCCGCTACGCATTCGGGAAAGAAAGGCCCAGGAAGGGAAAGGAAGGGAACGGAAGTGACAGGAAGGGAAAGGACGGGAAGGAAGAGAAAGGACGGGAAAGGAAGAGAAAGAAAGGGAAAGGAAAGGAGAGGTTGATTTGGAAATCAGCCGCCATCGCATGACCGTGCCCAAATGAGCTTGCTTGGCTATTGTACACTGTCACTCAATGTTTCCGTGCAGAGCTGAAAAAAATGAAATTTGCAGTGAATGCGTCCATACGGTTCATCTTCTAAAAAGAAGTTGGCAAGAGGCGAAAAGGAAATACACCAATTATTACTCAAATTTGTTTGCTGTCGTTTTGCTTTTGGGTTCTCAGGCCCTCCCTTGTTTATCGTGTTTTTCTCCTGCTGGTATTGCTTCATATTCTTTCAGCTGGTGCCCTGTCATATTGGCACAAGCAAGCCCCTGGTTGGTGCAAGGTTGCGTAAAGGGTTTTGTCAAGAATGTGCTGCATAATGCATTGTGCGTCAGCATTGCGCACAAGCACATGTGTGATCATGTGTGGTATCTTCAGATCAAAGTAAAGAGCTGGATGCAAGTGCTTGCATGGTTTGCCTTGAGTGGAATTTCGATATGCAGGGAATTATGATTTAAGATTACCTTGGGTATTCTATGGAAGCTACACGTTAGTAGTAGTAGCAATAGTATTGATGAAACCATCTCATGAATTGAAACCTGAACGACTCTTAAGTATTCTTAAGTTGTGTTTTTCATGTCTTTGGTTGTTCATTTTCTTGTTTCCCGACACCATGGCGAAAATCCGCGCAAGCTCAGCGTAAGCGGCGCGTAAGCTGGACTTATGAGGAGAGGAGGAGTAGTAGCAGTAGTAGCCGTTATTCCCCTCTGAGAAGAAATTTTGGGAATGCGTTTGGCTCTTCAGAAGCTCTTCATCCTCATTCCCTTCAACCTCTAGCTCGTATTCGCTCGTCTTCATTTTCACCACGTTGATGCTGCAAACATCTTGACGGTCAAACCAAGCCTTGGCATAAGCAAATGATGTGGCGGGATGTCATTTTCGAACACATCCCAGCGTATAAGGGTCGCATAAGTTTTTTGTATTCCACTGTTTTTGCGTAAGCTGGGACTGTGTGCCCGAATTATTCGTGATTCGTGAAGATACGACGACGTGACGCTTGTTATATCTTGTTATATACAACATGTTACAACAGATACAACATGGTACGACATGTTACCACTTCGACATGTTGCAACATGTGACAACATATTACAATGTGTTACAACATGTTACAAGCATATTGCGACAGATATGTGCAACGTTGAATGACAGACACATATAAAACATGATGCGGCACAGATCAACCAGCAAAGTAGTAGAGACAGTTTGTGGATGTTTCTGGTGTTGTTTCGGTATTGTTTCTGTGTTTGTGCATGTTTGTGCCTGTTTGATTGGGTGATCACAGACTGCAAGTTTCATGTGTTTCCTCCAGTCCGCATCGGGTCCGCATCTATGTTTGTATTTCTGTGTGCTTTGGTCCCCGCCTGTCACAGCATGCCACAATATGCCTTGACCGATCAGCCATGAGATGACATGAGAAACCAGAAACAAAATGCAGAGTTCCCGTTGTAGGGCGGATGCCGGGAGCACATTCCGCACATTCCCAAACATGTGTTGCAGAACTACCGCCCGCAATTCACAAGCACTCACAGGTCATTTAGACCAGGCTTTCAAAGCTTGACAGCCTGTTGACAACAACAAGTCCCGAAAGGTAGCCAAGGCTGCCTGAATTAGCACCTTTTGGAATGAGATAATGCTTTTTGGATTGAGTTCTTGCCGTTCTGAAGCTTTCTGGCTTCCCCCCAAAGGGCACAGTGACCAGGGTGGCATAGAAGAGATTTGATGATTGATGAAGTAGGACAAAAACATAGAATGGCATTGAACTGGGGCGGCTCCATGGTGAGGGAGGGGGTGAAAAGCAATCAGACAATAATACTCTAACGAGAAAATGTTAGGGAACGAAGAGTCAATCATAAGAGGATGCCGACATGCTGAAAGGAATGCGCACATGATAGATCAAATATCATCAATATCATCAAATATTCAAGGCCATATGCAGGCTCTAGGAGGTGCAAAGCCTGTTGCCTAGATCCATACAACTGACTTGAAGACACAGCCCGGAAAGCGATGGAAAGCGCTGGTATCATGGACAATTGACATCAACTGACATACAGGTAAGGTCGGAGTCTCGCTCACCCTTATGAAACATCGCGGCTAGTTTAGCCTTTATTCGAGCTGCTGCACCAGGACCTTTCCGAGCTGGCCCTTGCACGAACCTTCCTACATTGACATGCATCCATATGCATCCCTTTCCAACCTTCATGAATCAATGATGATCAATGTTCAATGGCCTTCAAACTGTGTCCATTGACAGTGAAACCTTGCAAAAAGTCGCCCTTGCATGTCACCACCTTCTACATCCATTTATATAAATATATATTTTATATGGTTGCTTTTAATATTGTTCTGTGAACTTTCATATCCTTTATTCATTTTTATTCTCTTGTTATTCCCCTTCGCTCTCACGATCTCTCACGTCTCTCAGCGCAGGTGGCCATGACGATGGCAGCCGCAGAAGCGGCTGCGCGGCCCAAGAAACGGCGCAACCCGCAGCCGTCGCAGCAGTCGCCTCGAGAAGTCGTAGAAGTGTCGCCTGAAGAACTGTCGTAAAGCAAATTGCAACCTCATATTGGGGAAAAAAGGATGAAAAAGGGAGAACATCTTTAAGGCTTGAATATAGGTTGAATGAATGTTGAATGCATACCTTGAACATCGTTGAACATCTACAGTAATTACATGTAATTTCATCCTTCCACCATGGTCCATCTTTTCTGAGGGAATGAACCAGAGCGTACCTGAGCTCAAATCAAGTAAATCTGGCATATCAGGCGTTCTGCAGATGTAGTTGAATCTCTATATAGTTGTTTCAAGATGTTCCCTGTAGTTTTTTGCAAGATTTCCTCCGACAGCACCAACCTGGAACAGAAGGTTGGAAAGATGTCTTTGGGGCTGTAGAAAGTCAGGCGACATGTGCATCATGTTGCAGTCTTCTAGCATTCCAACAATATACTGGAAAAAAACATCAAGCTCGCAGATCAAAACATGTCAGAATTGGTTTTGTCATACGAGAGATGACACGACAGGACTCGATGCAGGGGTAACAGTCAAAGTGCCAAAACCGCTGTGGCGTCCTGTGCCCCAACTTGGTCAAAGACCATGCGGAATTGGCGCGTCGCAGGGAAGAGGAGAAAATACCCACAGGGTCAGTGGTGCGTGGGGATCTCATAGCAGATGCTGGTGGCACGGCTTTGTTCCAACTTGTCTCACAGAGCAGAGTCTTGATAACTCCGACATACCGCTGCACACACTGTTTCACGCTGCTCAAAAGGGGTGGCAGTACCAACATGAACTGCTGAGGGATGCAAGTGTCAGCCTCGATGCGCTGGTGGATGCTATTGGAAATTATCCAAACATATACGGCACACATTTGCAGACTTGATGGGCTTAGGGCCTTAGGGCACTTGGTTGAAGCCGGCTCAAAACCTGCCACTGGGCTCAAGCAGTGCCCTCACTGACACATTTACGCCATCCGATAACTAACGTTTCACCTGGGGAAGGACCTTGACAAGACTGAAGGGCTTCAAGAATAGTTTTGTTCTGTTGTTCTATTGCCTAATTCTTTTGGCGTTCAAGTTTCAGCTGCCTTCATATTCCAGAATTCCACAGATTTGGTTTGATTCAGGCAGGTGAGAGTCTGGAAGGTCCTCCCCAGACTAAGACATGATCCATGCTGCCCTCCAGAGGCGCCTGTTTCATCATCACATGCTATCACTTGTTTTCTCGAAATCGAACCCCGCTACACATTCACAAGTCGATGGCAAGTCTTTTTTGGGCTTTCAAGCACCAAAGCCTGGAAAAGGCGCCACTAAAACCCAGCCAGCTTGAGCAAACCAAATCAATAGATACAACTTGGTGTTGATCACATTCAATAGGTTCCCCGGTTGGCTCCCCTCTCTTGAAAATTAGTTTGCTTGCTCTTCGTTTGCTGGCTCTTCTGTCGGAGAAGTGCTTTCCACGGGAATCTCCAGGTACTGGTCGAATTGACTGTGTGGAGCGAGCGATAAGCAAATCTTTGATATGTTCTATGCAATGCAGGAGGTCAAAATATCCACCTCTCTTTGCGTTTTGTATGGAATGGCAACATCAGTAGCAACTAGCAGCAACCTACCCAGGGTGGCAACATCAGTCCAACTCAAACATGCTATGCACAGACACAAGTCCACAAGCACACCAGATTTTTCAGCCGATACTGGATCCAACAAGCCTTACCCAAAGTCAAACCGCAAAACCATACAAAACAATACCAAATTATTTACTGTAAGCCTTAAAAAGATTCTTGATGATTTATTACATATGTATATAGTATGTTTATGCACTTTTCTTTCTGCCACGTATTGGCCGAGTGCTGCTTCTTTTTGACCAAGCAAAGGCCCCACAGACCCCACATCCAGTTGCGCGTTGCCAGGATCGTTTTCACAGTCATTGCAATTGCCGCGGGTGAGCGCACAGAGCAGCCTCGTTTCTTGCTCGCATTTTGACGGAAGCCAAACAAAACTGGCACGTTGTCCTATAGCGACACTGCACCAATGTTCCTCGAACCAATGTTCCTCGAAGCACTTAGAAACGGTTATAGAATGTGTTTGTTTTGTTTAGCACTTCGAGTTGCTTTCCTTCTGTTGGCAAAATATATGTAAATATATGGCAAATGCCAATGCTAAGGCCCGGGCAAGTCAGTGCTCTTGCTACAAAGAAGCACTGCGTGGAGAGCGACCTTTGGCTGGTCCGGGCCAGCAAGGAGCGAAAGCAACGAAGCAACGAAAACACATCTTTGCACATCTTTTCAGCATAAAGTCGCAAAAAAAAACTGCAGCAATCCATTTCCATCCATTTCCATGATCTGTTTGATTTTGACAGGAGTGCGCAGGATAATCAAAGTTTCTTTGCTAAAATATGCTGAATTTACCTTTTTGATCCAGCGTTTCACATGGAGCTTTTGTTGAGCTGCAACAGAGTTCGGGGTCATTTTGCATTCGTGGGTTATTGGAACACCGTGACCCAGGTACAAATCTTGCCTGGCCCCAGGGATGCATTGGAAGCTTTTCAGCATCTAATTCATACTGTTTCAAGGTGGAACCTGCGGTTATTTGAAAGATGAGGTCCGCAAAAGAAAATATCATAAGAATGTAATGTATGTCATGTAATTATTATAATCTTGAGTTTGTCCCATGAGATTTGTTCTGAGGAAAACCTTGCCATGCTAGCGGACCCAAGCGCAGGGAGCCCAGGAGTAGAGCAATGACCAAGCTGTGGCAAGAATCATGCAGGATAAATCATGCAGAATATATCAAGCAGATCAAAGCGGATCAAAATCAAGGATTATCAGTGAAAAAATCGTTTTCTTCAGCCACCTTGAAAACTGTTTGGAGGTTTGAGATGGTTTGAGATCATATCACGAAAGCTAGCGGTAGCTAGCTGGAGTTTACTCTTGCTTCAGCAAGGGAGGGGCAGCTTTGAGTCCAACACAGTGATTTTTCACGTGAACCCCCTCTCCCCCCCAAAGCTCCCGGGGCATTTTGGAAGCAGATGGTCACGGGGGCTCCAATCCTGCCAGGGGCGTGCTGAGCGCTCGACAATCTGTCCTAACCACATCAAAGCCCCATCATGTTTCCAAGTCATATGAACTTTAGCTTTCGTGCACCCCCCTCCGGGTTTAAAGTCTCATCGAATGCTCTTGGTGTGTCAAGGATGCGGCAGATAAAACATGATGAAACAGAAAGGTGCATGTCCTGTGACGCCATGCTGAGGTGTCCTCCCTGAGCAGCTCAGCTTGATACGTTTGAAAGCCATTTGAAAGTCATTTGACAGTGACATGCGTGTCTCTTTGGTGTGCTCAGCCTGCATACAAAGTTCATCCATCCCTCAGGTCGCACGTGAACAGACCCGCGCTTGTGGAGTCACACCAACAAGCAACTCAGACTATCTCAGACTCATACTTGAACATCTTGAACTTGGCTTTGTGAGGTTTAGGCAAGATAGTTTCTGCATGTTTCACCGTTCTGATTTAGGACTGTAAAGGATCGCGATGAGATACGGCATATGTTTCGTTCCACTTCACATCGACTATCGGCAATTCGGATATGCTTTGTACAGCACCAGGTCAATGCATCACAACCCATCGGCGAACCGTTCAATGCGGTGGATGAAATGGACACCGATTACAGTGATGAAGAGGAGCGCCGGAGGCATTTGATGGCTGTAACAGCACTGTAACAGCACTGTAACAGCACTAACATGTTGTAACTGTGAGCCGACAATGTGCACAGTCAGGTCGCCCCAGGCCACTCCTCCCCACCAGGATTGCGTTTGAATCGTGTTGAATGTTGAACTTTTGAACCCCAATTGGACGCAATTGACAGGAAGAGACACAATGGAGCAAGCTTTTGCCATTAGAACTTCATTTAGTGGGCAGGAGTCTGAGAATGTCTGAGATCTGCAAGTGGCAGAGCTGCTGTGGCAGTTCGGATTTGCTCCAACGGCACTAAGGCGTCACGATCACAAAGCTTCTGGACCATTATGCGGAAGACGCCATTGCCAGCACTCCTGGTGACAAAGCAGCACCTCAGTGGTTGCGGCAGCGACATTTCGCATACATGAAGTTGCTGGGATGAGTTGAAGCTTGCGATAGATGGCCAACAGATGGAAAATAGATGCAAATATTAATATAATCAAATCACATCAAATTCGTGCCCCATGTACTATAATGTACTACTATATCGTGGATCGGATGTAAATATAGCTTAAATTAGAGACGATGGTGTTCAAGAAGTAGCTGAATGGTTTGATGATTAGTTCATGTCTGTACCGTGATGCGTTGAGGCTTGGTCGGAACTTCCAGCGTGAGATCTCTAGCAGCTTTATTGCTCATCTTCAAGAAAGAGCTGTCCAAGGCTGAACCCAACGCTTAAAACCAGCGAGTCACATCTAGTCACAGCCTGATGTCACAGCCTGATGTGGTTCAATGTGGTGCCCTGATGTGCCCTGTCAGGCTTGCAAAGTAGATGAGAAGAAAATTCTAATGTCACTTTCTTTGCACCCAGACCATCCCAGACCTAGTTAGTGCATGTTAGTGCATCACCCAACTGCAAAATCCTCAAGGTGACCTCGTATTTTGATGTATGTTACTGTATGTTGAAGGTCTTTGAAGTTTTGCAACTTGTCGTGGCTTGTGCACTGAGGAATGCCATTTTTGGGCGTTTCCTACGGGAGAGCGTGTTGAAGTCCACTAGCGGCACCTCAGCAGCCAACAGCATAGCTTTGGCAACGCAAACTTTTGTGACAGCCAATGGCAGCCATCAACTGAAAATGGCAAAGTCGGGCTATGCCAGGATGGAGTTGGCCAAGCCAAAATTGGATCCAAAAATAACATAGAATAACTTCAATAGGGTTTTTTCCTAATATGTCTAGTGCGTTTGACACTCTGGTCTGTTGATGTCTATGGAAGGTAAAAACATCGACGCTGCATGACGTCGCAAGTAGCATCAGCTATGAGGCATTTATCCCATCGACGCAGGGCGGGCGAGTTTGGTGAGCAGCGTAGTGCCCTTCAGTGAACGCTTGGGTGAAGAGGCGCACCATCTCCCCATCCAGCACCTGGATGCACCTGATGCACCTGATGCACCTGATGCACCTGGTATTTTGAGAGATCCTTCGCTTTTCGATCTTCGCATTTCTCAATGATTCTCAACGTGCTTTTCGCATTGCTTAAGGCTTATATAACACATCTTGACAGTGCAGGGATATATAATCACCGCGCAGCATTCCGGACAGATCCGGACAGATCCGGACAGGTTGTCGTTCGCTTCTTCGTACATCCTCGAAGAGACGGCGATGATTTTGCCTCCTTAGTGACCACTTTGCAAGATGCGACCCTTGGATCATGTTTGGATTCCCGAATCATTGTCCATTTTTGGCGACAGCAACGCACACCGAACAAGACAAAGTTGAGAAAGTTGAGAAAGGCCACCTATGCATCACTATGCATCACTATGCCAATGTGAATACATGTGAATACATGTGAATACCTCAAATCCCTGGATGGGGTTGGTTGCTGTCCCAGGCTTGGCAACAGCAATAGCTCGCTAATGCAGGGGAACCTTTCAGAGACTTGGCAGACTTGGCATCCAAACATATCCCAACACTTGAGAGATCTTGAGAGACTTCAATAGGCTTCAAAGATTTGTTTGATTGTTTAATCATGAAGCCAGTGCATGCCAGTGCTCCTTTCCTTTCGACTCGATGAACGGGGCCACTGGCTGGCCCGTTACTGCTCTCCCGTTTCTCCATGTGGAATTTGATGGAAGCGTGTTATATGTAGCATGACGGCGCACTGCATGACACCGACAGCATTGTGTAGTGCACATGGTGACGTTTCATCACGCATCAGTTTTCATTGAGGTATTCTTAGATCTTATGCACAATCATAAAACATTATTGCGCCCAACCCATCACAGACCAAAAAGGGTGATGTTGGCATGCCAATACATGTAAGACTAACGAGTGCAGTATGAGCAGGAGACTATGCGGTCTACATGGCCCAGAGCATACCAAGCCCCTACTGAACTCAAGATTGTTTCTAAGGCCGTTCTGAAGCATGCCTCTTTGACCACCGGCTACCAGGTTGGTAGTTGTTGCTACACGTGTGTGGCAGTAGTGCAGGGCTACCTCCAACTCAGGGCCTGATTGATTGAGCATATGAAATCAAATGAAATCTCACAAATGTTGATAAATAGTGTTATTGGAGAGCGTTGCATGAAATCCAGCTGATCTGGCGAGGATGTCTCCGGCTTCACGACCATTCCTATGGTGGCCCCGCCAAATCAGTTGTGCTTTTATTTCTTGTGGATCTTTTGGTGAGGGCGTGGGTGGCGTGCTGTCATTGAACACAGCCGTGAAGACATTGCAAGATATTGCAAGCATGTTCGCACCTTTCATATATTAATATAGAGTCTATGCAGAGCAAATTCCCACTGGCCATCGCTGTCTCTTGGCCCCGAGGAGAAACTCTCAAATTTGGCGCTTCCCTTCGCAATCTCAGCTTTGTTCACTGGAATTCTTATATGGCTTGCTGGATAGTTGCTGGATAATGGAGAGCACGGTTCCAAGGGCATTTGAGTGCCTTTCTGAAGCTGCAGGGAATGGCCAAGAGATGCTAAGAGTGAAAGTCTAAGCTGCAAAAAAATGTGCGTGAGAAAGAATGCAATTTTGTCAATTTCAAATCACAATTTTTTGAGGAATCTGCAGATTCAACAATATTCAGCTCTTCCAGCTTGCAGATCTTGCAGCTGGAGGTGTTGTTTTTGAGAAGCCATGAGAGATCATGAAGAGATCATGAGGCCATGGTTGTCTCGGTTTCTATGTTGTTCCTATGATGAGTCACAGGAACTCCAGGCTGCCCAAGAGAAATTGGACGCTGCAAAGAGGCTCAGCTGGAGTGGGATTTCCTTGGGCTAACGCGGCTAACGTCATTGACTAAGAGCTCCCATGAGCTCCCCAAGTAGAAGCGAAACTAGCCTAGTAACTAGCCTAAACGAAAAACGATCCTAAACGAATGTGCAGAGTTGCTGACCCCTGGAATCTCACAAGGGCATTGTCTTGAAGGTCTTACGGTAAGTCTTAGTTTTTCTTCGAAAACATCACAATCTGACTTGTTGTACAGTATCTGGTTCTCAAGTAAAGCACCAGCAGAATTGCTAGGCAATTGCGAGAAAAGGATGAGGCGCAGACATGGCAAGAGGGCAAGAGGTTCCTCATTGACATCCCTTCAGTCTGCAAGCGGATGCTTTTTGATTTGCTTTGTTCTATGCAAAAGATATTAAAAGTCACTCATAGAGCGGTACCCCTGCAATTGACCCATACCCGCTGGTATTGACAGAACTCGACAACTTGCGGCAACCTTCACATTTCCTTTCATTGCATTTCATCACGCTTAATTAATGAAATGGATTTCTTGCCTTTCCACGGCAATTAGCACACGCATGCACCTGCTACATCATTCATCATACTAGCACATTATGATCATTGTGACATTGTCATGTTCAGTTTGTGAGGCCCTCCAGATGGGCCAACAGCAACTGACGCAAACGCGGCAAGAAGCTCAAAATACTGTGGAGGCGCTCAAAATGTCCCAAAAGGATCCAAAAGGGTTGAGACATATTGAGATCATATTCATATGAACTATTGTAATTATTGTATGTCTGAGTGCATCTGAGTGCCTTCAATCAAGTATGCACAAGTATAATCCCTTTCCCCTAATACTAACCCCCCCAAATAATAAATACCTCAGGTAGTTTTTATTATTAGGGTGGTATTTATTATTAGGGTGCGAAGCTTCCCCGTAATACTAAATTTAAAACCCTAATATAAAAACTGTTCTTTTCCTATCAAAACCGATTAGATTTCCTTTTAAAGTCTAATTAACATATTGCCAAAATTTGGATTTTGAAGCTTCCCCCCAATACTAAATTTAAAACCCTAATGTAACAAAAATATATTTCAAAATCGATTAGATTTCCTTTAAAATCTAGTTAGAATATTGCAAAAAATTGGATTTCGAAGCTTCCCCGTAATACTAAATTTAAAACCAGACTATTTTTCCTATTTCAAAACCGATTAGATTTCCTTTTACAATCTAATAAAAATATATTGCCAAAAATTGGATTTCGAAGCTTTCCCCCTGAATATAAAATACTTTTTTTCCGACCTTAGAAGACGGACCCTAATAAAAAACACCCCGGGGTTGACTAGTTTTTATTATTAGGGGGTGAAACCCTGAAATGGTAGCTTCATGTTTAAATTGTTTTCTAAAGGGGATCAATTAAAAATCAAATTTGCCAACCTCAGATTTTCCAAAATTGGAGACGGACCCGATTTTTTGTTATTTGGGGGGTTTAGTAATAAGGGGAAGGGATTATGTGACAATGTGTTCTCATATGGTTTCTAGCTTGTGACACATCAGAGTGTTGTCATGCAACACGCGTCATGCCCTGAATCCTTGGCATCAGCATCCGCTTGGTTGAGCCATCTTAAGACTGTGTCAAGTTGAACCTACTTCGGGTAGGATGACAAATTCTCTTTGGTGCATTTTGGACTCTTCAAGTTCTCTCAATGACAGTGTTGTCAAGATCTTCCAAGTGTTGTTCTTTGTTCTTTTGTGCAATGTGCAGGTGCTCCGGGCGAAGCTCAAGGAGTTGGGCGGAAACAGGGACAAGGGATATGACGGCACGCAATGACACCCGCAGACCGAAAGGTAGCAAAACGTGACAGACGTTGGCAAACCGCCAGGTTGGACCGAACATTTGCCTTTTTGGATCTTTTTGTTGGAACTCCATCCAAAGACCCTTAGTAACATAGTACCGCACAAGGCGGTGGCGGAAGTTTCAGAGATAGGAAACCTATAGGAGAGGTGAGTTATTGTGATGCATCGATGGCAGAGCGAGCTGATGGACCGAAAGGTGGTTGAGGCTCTGAGTCTCTTATTCTCTCTCTCTCTCTCTCTCTTTGTCTCCTGCTCCGCTTGTCATTCTGTTATCTCTCTGACGATCTATCTCCATCTCTTTCTATCTATCTCTCTATCTCTCTTTTTCTTTATCTATCTCATTTATCTAGCTAGCTACCTATCCATCTATCTGTTTGTCTACTTATTTGTCTATCTATCTGCTATCTCGCTTCTATCCTTCTATATATCTATCTATCTGCCTGCCTGTCTGTCTATCTATCTATAGGAGTTCGCCACTCATTATCACAAGAGAAACCACGTTCGTATGCCATCTGTTTTGTAAGTAACCCACCTGCTTCCACCTCACCATATCAGATGGCATGTGTCCACACATACGCTTGTCTCATCAGATGGCATGATACAGGTTGCACAAGAGCGCAACATTCCTGCAAACTCTTTTCCAACGCGTTCCTGTACAATGTTTGTTGGAAAGAGTGCCAAACGTTGTGATCTTGGGTTCTTGATGGAAGAGATGCCCGGGGAGCGAGTGCTTTGAGGTCCGGGGAGCGATCGTTCCATCTATCTACCTACCTACCTATCTACATATCTACCTATCTACCTATCTACCTACCTATGTAGTACCTATCTATCTATCATTATCTATCTATCTATCCATCCATCTTTCTATCTATCCATATCTATCTATTTATCTATCGCTCAACCTGCCTCTTAATCTTTCTGAAAGATTTGAAAGGAAGCAATTATGCGAGGCTTCCTTCAAAAGTGGAAGTTGACAGGTCCAAAACGCAGCAATTATGTGCGACTTCCTTTTAAAAAGTAAGGTTTCTTAAGGGAGCTGGCGACTTTCGATCCTGGAGCTGCCAGCTGCTAAGTTTAAGCCATGTCTTGCCTTCCGTACGCAGTGGCACAATGCTAGCATCGTTGCACCGACTCGTAAGTGCCAACAGCATAGCCTAGCCTCATTTAACATCGAGCCAAGAACAACCCAATTCAGACACCTCGCGCCACTAGAGAAGATGCTGAAAGTATTCCTTGGAAACTTGGGATGCCAATCAGTTTTGCCGGAAGCCATCTCAGTAAAAACGCGTTCCATTCCATTCCATTCCATTCCACATGCTCTATTTATTGTCGTTGTTGCTGTGTGTGCATGCGCGTATGCTGGCAGGAATTGTGGTCCGCCATTGGGCAGATCAAAGGTTTCTAGCCTGAGATTTGCCGGCCAAGAAAAGAGTAAAAATGAGCGGAAATCTTTTCATGCGTGGATAGGTTTGAAGGCTTTGAACAGATTGGATGGGTGGGTAGAGGCACAAGGAAGGACACTGCAGACTTGAAAACTGCTGAAGCAATGTAGAACCTTGCAGGTCTGCAGGCTTTGCCTCTGGGGTTGTATTAACAAACATGATTGAATCGATATGAGTTAGGTTCATGAATCTGCCACCTGAAACCAGTAGAATTAGATTAATGTCGTAAAGGGATTGAGAGTTTGGCCACCCTTAGGCAGGGAATGAATTCAGCCCCGTCACCAGGATGTGTCTGTTTATCGCATTTACCTTATGCAATTTGCTCAAGATGAAAGCCGTAATATAACATCATCTGATTTGCCGGGCAATCTCAAATTCGGTAGTTTTAATGTGGAATTGAGATTGAAACAAGTGTTAACACATGAGACGAATATATGCGTTTCAGCGGAGACTGTTCAGCAAAGATTGCCAATACAATATAATATAACAAATATATACAAATGTATATATATATAATTATATAATTATATAAAAATATAAAATATAGATATGTACAATACAATACAACGGTTTTGGATTAGACTTTTTTGCCCTAAGGGCATTTGCCATGATCATGAACCATGGCGTGCCCAACGCTCGCTTTGGCGCAGGCTGTAGTCGCTGTTCCCAGCTGTATTGCGGAGATCGGAGGAAACACGAAATAAAATACCAACGAGTTGCCAGTCTAGAATCCACTGAAGTCGCAAGATTTCCCGCATATTGCGAGGCTTAAATTTTGACAAAGCAATCTTTTATGCGATTAGACGGGCTCACCTGACACCACTAAATTTTCGACTTTTCCAGGGCACCAACAGACCGGAAAACTCCAGCGAAGGCAACAAATTATAAATACATTCAACCGTAATTTGATGCCAGTTACGAAATTTGAACCCATTTGAGTACCAAAGATTGGTATGCTGTGGATTCGTGGCAGGCCAGCGCTCAGCCCTGCACACCTTGGCTCGTGGCCTGGTCTTTTTGATGCAGGTGCTGAGAAGCCCTCAGAAGATTTAACCAGCGCTAAGACGCGCCAAGCTAAAGCAAGTGCTCAGGGCGACATGTGAAAAAAGTCAAATACAATCAAGAAACATCAAGAATTTATGGAACGGTGATCACAGTCATAGCTGAGTCATGCTGAATCATTGCGCAGCAGGCTCCACTTCTCAAGGTTTTGGTCAACAAATTGGTGAATTGGTGGATTCTCGGTCCCAGAACTCTTGGGACTTGTGGCACGCCTCCTGACTTGGTTTGTTTTGCAGGTTTGGTGTTTCGACTTCTTGCTGGACTTTGTAGGCTGGGGCATGGCTGGGCATGCATGTTTGCAACGCGGAAGGAGTCCACGCACGTGGTGTGTCTATTAGATTCATGGTTGGTCAGACTGGAATTATACGGAGAGATCAGATATGATCAAATCTACATACCACATGTGCCCCTAAGAAGGCACATGTCCAGGCTCACGCTGAGACATGCTGAGACGATTCAGGACACGCACCTTCAAATCGCGCACTTCACTGCAACATACTGCAACTCATGCAACGCAGATCAACGCAGATTTCTTGCTCAAGAGGTCCGACATTGCTTCATATTGCTTCTGGCTTGCTGCTTGCCGGCATGGAATCTCAGACCCGTGAAGGCAATGCAAAGGACCTGCCCCATCGCGAGACCAGCGGCAGTAAAGCCAGAAAAGTCCATGTCGCAGGGAGTTTCTTGCGCTCCTCCACAGAGGTCCAAAATGCACGGCAAGAGAGACTCAAGGCCTTCCTTGCGTCGTATTACGTGGCCAACTTCATGGTGGCCGTGGTTCTTCTGGACGCTTATTCCACATGCACGGATATCGATGCAAGAGCTGCAGGTTCACCACCACCGCAGTTTTTCCTAGTAATCTCAGATGTTTGCTTGGTACTCTATTCGCTGGAGATTCTGGGCATGGTCCTGGTGTTTGGGGTGTCACACCTAAGCGACTGGATGATCATGGTGGATGCAATCATTGTTGCATGCGGATGGGCAGAGAAAGTCCTTGCCTCTGTTGGAACTGGTGGTGGTATTGGCTTCCGCACTGCGGTTCTGCGCGCGATGCGCTTGGTTCGGATCTTTCGGATCATGCGTGTGCTCAAGCGGATTCGGCCATTGCGGGAACTGCACAAACTTGTGATGATGATGGCAACCTGTGTGCGCACGTTACTGTGGTCCTTTTTGCTGTGCTTCGTGGTGATGACAGTATGGGGTATGCTAATGGTTGAGCTTGTAAATCCTGCCGTGCAGGACTTTTTTTGCAACCAATTTTTGTTTGCAGCGGTAGCCACAGACAGAAGAAGCCGAAAGTGAAGGTACACCGCATGGCAGCGTGCATTGTTTTAGACAACGACGTAATTTAAAAGCGTTTAACATGATTTGACATGATCAACCGGCCAATGGCATCTAGTGGCTGTTTCAGTAAGCCCCAGACTCAAGGTCGCCCAATTTTTGTAAAAAATCAGCCAGCCACATCAATTCATTCTGGTAAAATTAGCTGGTGCATACATCGGGGCTTCATTTTCATGATATGTGACGTGTTCCAATTTTGCACCTCTAACACGCCCAGATAGAAGGAAAGGAAACACGAAAGCAAAGAATGGGAAACGCCAGGCCTGGGGGATCTCTATCAAAAAAATATTGCAACAAAAAAAACAAAAAAAAAAACGTATTATTCCAACCAAGAAAAATATTCTGCAAAAGGAAGGGGGGAAGGAAGGAGGGAAGGAAGTAGGGAAGGAAGGAAGGAAAAGAAGGAATGAAGCTGAAAGTGGTATCCAACTATATCTACTTGATTTAATTTACGTTCGCTCACAACAGGCATGTTGTGCATTATACATACGGCTACCTTGGGTATCTTGAGTACCATATACACAAAATCCCTGACTTCCATATTCCACCGCACACGGGAGCACGGGTGTTGTCATTCTGCTTTGGGGGGAGGCGCTGCGCCCTTGTTTTTGTTTTGGACTCGATCCCACCAGGGCATAGCATGAGCACTGAGCATGGGAATGTGCAGATTAAGATCCTACTGCCTGAAAACAGGTCAGTACAGCAGGATTGATGATGTTCTGACGGAATGCAAAATCAATGGCACAGACTGGAGCAGGTGAACCACCAGGATGGGAAGACTGATTTTCCATCGACCGAGAACAATGGTCAGAGAACTGCCATTTTGTACGAGCATGATGAACAGATTCAAAAAGACCTGCAATGGTTATCCGAAGCAGTATCCCAATTTTACCAAGTCCATCTTGGTCGTCAGATCAGAGAAAATGATAAGCTTTGGGGTGATTTCTGTCGAAAGGAGTTTGATGCTGATGGAAATGAAATGGGACTTGAGTTGAACACGTTTGGATATGACACAACCCGACCAGATGTCACAGTTCCCATGAACAAGGACACAGTCATTCCAGGTCCAGGGAGCTCACTTCTCATACTCCACAAAGCTTTTGGTCTTGGCCATTGAACTGTATCTGAGAGATGCACCTCGTGATTTCTGTCATTATGTCAACTTTGCCTACAAGAAGTTTTTCCAGTTTGACTGCCCGATCATACAGGTTCTTTGTTGAGCATGCTTACAATCAATTCTTTCAGCGTGAAGCCTTCAATCAATCTGCACGTGCAAGAACGAAGGCAAAGGCTCTTGGTGCAGGTGAATTTCACTCCTCAATAAGCTTGATGGCTACGTTTGGATTGGCACTCGAGGCAATATTGTGTATATTCCAAAGGATTACGCAGAAGATGCTGAAATGCAGGAAGGTGATGCTGAAGAACAAGAGGAACAAGAAGATACCTTACCAACTCTGGAAGTCAGTATCAGACCTCAACCTCAAAGGGAAGAGAAGGAAGAAGATGTAGGCTCTCAGAAGGGAGAGGAAACATCCCATCATTCAGGACACTCTGAAGAGGCCGAGATACCTGAGGCGGAACCCTTGCCAAGAGGTCGCGCACCTGAGGAAAGGTATGGTAACTTCATGATTCAGCAGCTCGCGCCACAACACCGGGAGCTATTGAGAACATGCGCATTCAATTCTCAGAATGTCCTACGAGGCGATGATAGAGATCCAGAAAGAGAACTGACACATCGTGATCGAGTTAGTTCTTTTGCTATGGTCTTCATGCTGGAGTACATGGCTCAGGAAACTCACAGCTCCTTCATCGATATTTTCCAGAATCATCACAGATTGACATTACAGATGAACAGTACCATGAACTACGCCTTGACATTAAAAAGGGCTTGAAGGAGAACAAGAATATCAACCAAAGCTCTCTTGAGGAAGAAGATGACCTTGATCTTCAAGAAGGTGATCCCAACACATTCCTCCAAGACGACGTGATGATCAATCAAGGTCCAGGTGATCCAGAGTTCAAGGGTTCTGCTGAATGTTTGAGTCGTGAAAACAAACATATTTTTCTGGAAGCAGAAGACGATGCACTTATTGAATGTACCATCCAATAGCTCAACATGTATGACGAAAATCATCAAAAGAGAATCATGGAAAGAGTTGTTAAGAATGAAGAAGAAGAAGAAGAAGAAGACATAGATGTTGAAGATGATCAAGCTGAACCTGAGGAGCCTAAGGTACCACCACCTGAGAAGGTGAGCATAGAGATTCAGATTCAGACAGATGATTCATTTCTGTCTGATCAAAAGAGTGGAAGCTCTGCGAAGGAAGAGGCACCAGCTCCATCTGGAAACTCTCAGAAGGGAGAGGAACCAGAGGAGAAGAAAGATGATATTCAAAAAGTTGACACGGCTCCAAAAAAAAGAACCTGCCACACATGTTTATCATGGTCAAGATATCACTGGATATGATGATGGTTCAATTTTTCGAGAACTTTCCAAATGTTTTACCGACAACTACCATGGTGAATGGTCAGGATTTTACAATCAAGGTTACCCAGCTTCAAGTTAGCATCGACACATGTTCAGGCATGTAAAACACAGGGAGACCAGTGAACCACACAAAGACCACTGGTACACCGACTCTGACAAACAACTGATGGAAACTTACATTGCCAGACATAAGGATGAATATCCACTGTCATTGTTAGAGGACCTTCGCAAGGAAGCAGCCTATGGTTGCTCAGACCCTCGTCTTCATCTTCGTGCACGTGAACAAGCTGATCGATGGACAGAGGAAGCCGAGAAACGGTTAGAAGATGACTTCCAGACTCTTTCTCTTGTTCTCACTGACTGTGTGGAGCAACATGGTGTTTTACCATATTGTGTAGTCCTTCAGTGTCTTGCATCACGGTTCTTGGGAGCTGGAGTGATTGCTCCATCGTTTTTGGGATAAGGACCATCCCTATCGATCCTCACCACAGTTTTCCTTGATGTTCTGGAATCTAGGAAACTGGTGTAGGCCACGGTTCAACAAATGTCCATTGCCTGAGAAGTTTCAGAAGTTTGAACCTCACATCAATTATGAACTCAACCGTGACCATGAGAAGATAGGGTACAAGCCACAGTTCAACAACTACAATATCAAAGTTGTCAAGGATCTTGGAGCATATGTATTTGTGAATTGCGAGTTACAGGTCCCTACTTGAAGAGGAGCAATTCAAGACATGCTTCAATGATTATCGTGACCTCATGGTTGCTGCTCGTGTGGGAGGACGGATATGTTCGACAAATTGCTGGTAACAACACTGGTGAAGATGGCACACGTGCTAGATACGTATCATGGGCAATATTTGAGATTTCGGCCCCTCACTCGAGCAAGGATGTCTATGTGCCGTGTGTGTTTGTGTGTCTTTCACGTCGGAGTTGCAAGGAATCTGCGGAGAAATTCTTGCATGTATGTCTTGGGAGTGTATCCGTTTTCAAGTTGGCGTGATCGCAGGCGACGAAAATAAAGCTTGCTACCTTGCAACTCCGAAAGCCGGAGGTTGCCCGACATATGAAGTCAGCTTGCTTCAGTTTTGGATCGATCGTATGATTCATACAGCCACTCAGTCGAGGATCAAGAAGTACGGAAAGGCACCGGCCGTCAGGGTTAAACACTTTATTTCTTGTTCCTACAAGGACTTCGTCTTCTTGGCGAAACCCTCAGAGGAGTCAAGGCCGAAACTCATACTCCTGAACCGGCATGATATCCATATGTGAATGGGGACACGCAAGGTTAGCTTTTGAGGAGGACATCAATGATTTTGATGATCAAGACCACATGGACTTTGTTGGAGAATCTTCTTTCTCAGTCAATGAAACTTGATTATCTTGTGACCATAACATCTTCAGGGTTGCCCCAACTGACACTGATGCGCACAACCCCCTTCTTGTTCACTTACACCCTTCTGACATGAATTGGAAAGAGAAGCATTCCTATGTTCCTCCAGCCAAGAAGATGCAACGCAAGGAAAGAAGGAAGGATATTCAGAAGTCGAACAAGCGCAAGGGTCAAGGCTTTGGTGATGGTCCTTTATTGGACGAATCATGGGACAACTGGGATGGCCGTGGCACGTGGACACAAGACTCCAACACTGGCTATGGTGACCCCTCATCTTTGTCAGCATGGGTATGGAGGCCGAATAGCAAGTGAGTGTATACTCCTTAAAAGGAGAAGATAACACAGGATGATTTTGCTCTGTACAGTTTTTCTGTGAGCTTATGTCTTTTTGCACAAAACGGTATTTACTGTTACCAGAAGGGATACCATTCCTGTGCACAGAGTCTCGTCTTTTTCAGTGCTGATATATACTCCCCCTCCTTTTACCGTAGCGCAAAAAAAATATATTTTTTGTTTAATTCCACGTTAACTAAAGTGACAATTCGGAGGTTTACTTCCATGTTAGTTGCAATGGGGGGGGTAAACTGCAAATTTGAGTTCTTTGGATCTGAGGCCTTTTTTTTTGGCTAGGTCTTTTTGCCACGAGTTCCCTGGGAATCCTGGGCATTTGTTGATTAACGTAGAAATTTTGATATATTTGATTTTTTCAAGATAAAGCTGGGAATGCCTCCATTTTTTAACAACCAACGATTGGAACGGATAACTTACATAGAAATTTGCTACTTGAAGTAGGATGTGGGCAGTGCCATGTTCGCGAGCGCTCGGTCCTCCTTTTACCGTAGTGCAAAAAAAAAATATCTTCCACGTTAACTAAAGTGACAATTCGGAGGTTTACTTCCATGTTAGTTGCAATGGGGGGGGTAAACTGCAAATTTGAGTTCTTTGGATCTGAGCCCTTTTTTTTTTGGCTAGTTCTTTTTGCCACGGGTGTCCCGGGAATCCTGGGCATTTGTTGAT